GCATAGTAAAGGAACTAAACTCATTGCTAATAAAATCTAGAAAAACTAATTTCTTTTTTACTCTGAGCAAAGTTAAGACAATCCATCGATAGTCCACATCTATGTCACAATTTGTTAGATTTTTTTTAGCCATGAATTGATTTCCTGCATTAGTTGAGGGGCTTGTGTTTCCTGAATTTTCATTGGACAAGTTATTTAATGACCTGGCTTAAGTGGAAATGCCTATGTGACAATAATAAATGCAAGGCCAAGCTAAACATTACTTGATTACTAGCAATAATAAACTGATAATTTCAATGTACCGCCTATGATGAATCAAATAATAACAAATATAAATTGACTATGTAATTATTGCTTATCAACATTCAACATATAACACCAGAATAAAAATGTGTTCTTAAGGTAGAATGAGTAGCGTATTAAAACGATGAAGTTACCTATGACAATTGATAATGGTTTGAAATAAACTCACTTCAAAAATGAACCAAACAGGATGTTTAGTAGCTATTTTGTATTTTGAATAAAATATCTTATTTGAAATTAAAAATAAATGTAAATCCGTTTCTATTGGATAAAATGTCGTAATCAATGTAAGCAATTCAAATTGCACACTCATAATTGATGATATTGACCTACCTCTTTTACTTTTTTGAAAGAAAAAAAAAGAGAAAAGAAACGATAATGAGGGAGCTTTCCTTTTTATTCTAATTCACCACTGTGAATATCGATTTCAAATGTAAATGAACCAATTGTTCACTTGTTTGTTGTATTATTCACAGTACATGGTTTAAAAAGAAAAAAAAAACTGAAGCAGAGCAGTAGTTGTATAAAGTTTTTATTAATTTTTTTGCAAAATAAAAACTAATAAATTACGCATAGTCTTGATACTGGACATTTTACAACACTCATTGACATAGGCACAATTTTATATAATATGGCATAGAAATACAGAACCAAAGAAACAACAAACAAACAAACATTTACATCATTGTGCTTAGTTAGATTGGAGACATTGGCGTAGTTGATTAAAACAATGAAAATCAATTATCTATGTGAATAACATTTTAGCAATAAAAGTTATCATTATGTGAAGAATGCATTGAGATTTACGCTTATCATCATGTTACATTACTTGTTTTACAATCCTTATGATTTGTAGGACATTAGTTAATTTGATAACTGTTTACAATTGTGTATCGTCAAGAGTTAACTAGCTGTGTTCATGTTGAAAGTTTGCAGTAGTAAAGACTTTAGATCCAGTAGGTTTATTATCATGCATCATGATGGAAGTATGATTCTTGAGTTACTGTAAAGAAAAATATTTTCTATTTCAGTAAGGTTATTTTGCTTAACAAACAGTCATTTAATTTCATCTTTATTGTTTTGTATTTGTTATCTTATATTAATTATCCTCCATTGTAGATTCCTCTTCGTTAAGCGGATTGTGAAAGGCTTGGAACTTGCTGTTGAGAGCTATCTTGAATTCGTTCAGTTTATTCGTATCTTGGAGAAACGTCGTATCACACTATAGTAATGCACTTCGCCAAGTTTTCTAGTGTTTTTTAGTCTCAATTTCATGTCGGTCAACACCAAGTGGTGATCCGAAGCTATTTCAGATCGTCCTCCTCCATTGGCCTTCTTAACTCTTTATTGATACAGGTGTGATCGACTTGGTTTTGTGTAGTGTGACCATGTAACACCTATTTAGCTTTGTGTAAACGTCTGTGTGGGAATACGGTGTCACCTAAAACCATTTTTTTTGAAGGCACATAGATTTCGTGAATCTCTCACTATTTTCATTCTCATCATGGAGTTGTCCATTTAAACCTTGGCATTTGGTCTCCCAGAAGAATGGTCAAATCGTTTGATGGGCACTCTTCGACTACTGACTGCATCCTCTCGTAGAAGGGATCTTTGTCTTCACCATTGATATCGTTGATAGGCTCATAGCATTGAATGATATTCATTGTAATCCCCTTTTTCTCTGTTTTGAAGGATGATTTGATTATCCTGGGTCCATGAGATTCCCTTCCTATCAGTGCGTTTCGTGCTTCTTTGGACAGCATCAGTGCAACAGCGTTTGAGTCATTTTCTTCTTCATGACCACAGTGCAACAGCATCTCTTCTGAAACTAATCTTTTTTATTCAATCGGGGTCCAATGTGTTTCAGTGATTCCAGGTACAGAGAGGTTGTATTTTTTTACTTTTGCATCAACTTGAATAGTTCTTTCGGTCTCTCACATTGTGTGAATATTCTTACTTTATATATATATGCCTTGCAACTTCCGAAGAAACTCGGCTTTCATCAAGAGACGTCATAACTTTTCCACATGAAGACCGTGCAACTTACAGGGTGAAGTTTAAATGGTTGGAATTATTTGTTCTGGTTAGTGAGCTGATTATCTAGGGGATGGCGCAGCCCTCCTCTTTTATCCGGGTTCGGGACCGGCGGTAACCCTGGAAAGGTTCCACAGTTTTCAGAAAATTACTAGACGATTATTTATGTATAAAATGGATTAAACTATGCCTCATGAAATTGTGATGAGTGGTAAGTGTTGAGTTGAGTTTATCAGGAATTTGACCAATATAATATTATAAAGCCATACATATTCAAGGCTAAACAGTTTCTCCAAATGCCATGACCACAACTCTTCACTAATCTTCCACTAACTACTTATCAAAATTCATTCAGAACTAGATGTTAGTTTAAAAATCTCCAAACATTCTATGCACATTTCTTTATTAGATTCTTATGAACACAAAAGCTTGTTACACTGTGACTCAACAAGTCCCAATTAGGTTAGATCGATACCTTTACCTAGGCTGGATACAATCCACCTTTCCGTAAGTATAGACGAACTATTCATTTGTAATCATTGATAAAAGCTATGCGATAGGCGTTGCATCACTTTTTATTAGTTAATTTTCTTTAAAAATCCTTTCCCTATATATCACAAATGCTTTTGTCTCCTGATTTATGTGTATCTTACAGCCATATTGATTTCAGTACTGTTTACCTGATTTCCAAGGTGGGATGAGATTAGCAACTTTATTTACTTCGTCTTGAAAATTTCTCCAGCTTTTGGTGAATGGAACTTAATGCAAGGAAGCTAAACATGATCTTAAGTTTGTTTTAGGGAAATCAGTAAGCACTGGTGGAAATTCTGGAAGTTTAAACAATGACTGCAAGTGGTTGAACATAAAGAAAGGAATATACATGGGATGGATAGAAATAGACGATCGATTAAATCGATTAACGACTCTTATGACCTACCAGCGCGATTCAGTCATAATCTTCGCGCTTTCTAACCTCTAATCCAACTAACTTTGAAGAAGTGAGAAGTCTAAGGATGCGTACTAGGCTTGGTACAGAAGGTTGAATAAATCATTCGCATCTAGGAAAAGATATGTGGACGGTGCCTACATTTCAGACTTTCATTTGCCTTTAGAACAACATAATGGTCTGTTTGAAATCGCCTAGACCACCAGGACACTAGAATTGAGGGAACGACACATTTGGAAAAAAGTTATCTTCGACAAACTAAGCGAAATACCCATAAATGCAGTCCAACCGGTTTCCGGTCATGTTGATAGGTGCAGACTACCCGATTGGGGTGCGTGAGACAATAGTAATTGATGGTTAGAGATCTAGAACGACATGCAATGGCTCATGTGCAGCCATTTTTTGTGCTCTCTCAAGTTCTAACCTTCTGAATTCCTCATCACCTCTATCTTTCTCTTTTTAAATTTATTTCACTGAATTATACTTCTTGAATACTATCCTCAAACCCTTATCTTCTCCATTACCGCTAATACTTCTACTATCTCTACCACTATGGGATTTGATCTGACAACTGTACCTCTGTGCTAATGCGGTATAGCAACCTGAATTGATGTACGTACGTACAAAGTTCTACAATGAAATTGACTGACCGAAATGACCTGGCTATTCTTTAGCCTCTTGAATTTTCGTTACCAGAGTTTATTCGAACAAAAAATTAAAATTACCTAAGATAAAAGGTAGTTCAGTAGTAAACTTTCTAATTCTTTTCAGCTCCGCACTGTGTTTGCAGCATAGATGTAATTTGTTTTGAAATGTATTCGAATTTTGGGATGCTGTATTTTTTTAAGTCCAATGACAGCATTAGCCAGTGGTCGTATTTTTCACTCTCGTATGGACAGTAATCAAAATAATGCTTGTCAGAGTTATGTTAACTGAGAAGTATATAATTATTGGAGTACATGTTATTATATTAACTAACAGTAGTTGAAACAAATCCAATCATAGCATGTAACTAAAAAAATTCGACTAGAACACTATTGATAATGACTGTGGCATTGAATGATTGTTATTAAATGATGAAAACCAAAGTCATTAATTTGGATATCTATGGCTAGCGCAAACACTACCACTTTACAGAATCGGCGACATCTCTTAGTTTTGTAATCATCGTTCACTGAACTCCGAAATCATCTGCATCACAATTAATTCACCTATGATGTTCAAAACCCAATATCCTTATCTAACCGTTAACTGAAGGTAAGTATTGGAGAATGCATCCTAATTTACATTAGATTGTAACATTGAGTGTGAACCATCAATTTAGCATGCTTGCGCTAAAAAATCAGTCAAAACTTCGCACAACTATACAAAACAGCACAAAAAACGTTATATTTAGATACAATTTACATGGTCAAATGAAGCATTTAGAACAAGTTTTCTCGATCTGTAGAACAATAAAAAGGCATCCTTGATGGAAGCATGAAAATGTGAATACTTTAGTCTACTGAGCAGCCTATCTTCCAATATCTGAGATTAATAATTATCTTTGTGATTTTTGAAATTTCTGTGAAGCTTAATTGTATCATAAAATCTTTATTGGATGAATTAAACGAGAAATAAATATGACGTTGCACAGCAATGATTTCACGAGGTGAATAATTACAGAAGTTAGAAGACAAATCAATTTTTGGAGTATGATGACTATAATTATCAGAGGTTACAAAATGCGCTTGAGTTTATAAACAGGTTCGGGTGGATCGCTAATAACATGAACAAATGGTTTATAGATTACTTCACCGTCTTTCACTTTATTATACAAAGGGCTGTCAGGAAACGGTGAAAGCTTCTCTGTGCTAATGGTAAAACGTCCATTACTTAGTGCCACTAAGTTCCATGTTTCTGGGTCTAGTTTGACAGCTTCACCTGGGTATATCTCCATACACATCTAAAAGGCATGAATAAAATCCGGTAGTAAACTTTTTTATATAATAATAAACGAATAATATATCCTTCAAAAAACCTAATGCATAATAATATGACTATTGAGGTTTAACTGAAAATTCTGTCAGCTTATATTGACAACTAACTAACCACTATCTAATAGTACTATACAATAATTCTGTAAACAGTTGACTTGTTGATTGGTTTCCCGATATTTCACAGGTAGGGGATATCTAACATAGTCATCAGGTTGCTTATTATTATTATTACGACTTATTTAAACGTACAGATATTGGCACACATGGACATGAATAAGAAAAGGAGATTGTGAGGAAACAGGGAAAGGAAGGACAACATAATTTTAAAAAGGAAATAAAAATAGGTGAAAGTATTAAATAATGGAACATGTAGTTCAGTTAGGGAGACACAATTAGGAAAAATTCTTTCAGTTAGAGAAACTTTCTTTCGTGTTTACGGAGTACAAGAACATTACATCAGGGTCGCCATGGGCTTCTATTGTGAGCCACGTCTAAAACGTTTCAAGCAACTGAATTGTACTATCTTTAGGACCATAAACAAGGAGCTGTGAAGAACCGGTCTTGTAAAGCTTTCTTCCATGCTACGGCACCATGTCATCAACTGAAAAACCAATTCTAACGTGCTCAAATTTTACACGTTAGGGATTTCTCTGGGACGACATTTGTGGTGCATGTCTAGACCAATAAAGTCGGTGACACCAACTGGATTATCCTCATTGTGCCCGAACATTGATTGGTGGACCTTTGCACTATTACCATGGCGTTGATACTGAATGTTAGAAACCCTGCGAAGACAACGAAAATCAGAGAGTTACTTAACATCCCTAAGCATAGAACAAAACTATGTTCACTGATGCGTTGAAGACTAACATCAAGAAGGAGCGAAAGATGATCCATATGCGAACTGATCTCTTGAGTCAGGCCACCACTACGACTTACCCAGCTACCGACATAGACGAACTTTAAGACTACTTTAAACTGCTCATTACTAGGAGTGAGTGCATTCCCGGGGTCTCACCAATGTTGTAAAAGTACGTTGCATTCAGAAGATGCAAGGTACATGCCATATACACGGACACTGACTGCTAACTGATTGAGTGCGGATTGCATGGCTTGGGTATCATCGCACAGAAAGATAATAACGTTCACATTTCCAAGGTCAAAAAGTCTTTCTTCAGGTAACATATCTACACCACCATTATTTAAATCCACCCGAACTATTCCCAGAACATCATACAGTTCAGAGTTGTAGAGGAATAGTGAGACAATGCGACCATGCCTAACTCTACTGCTCAAATAAAGCAGTGGGAACAAATGGTTTCATGCTTGAAGTGTTTGTATGTACGGCCTTCAAGATGTCGAAAAATTTCCTGGACACGCTCTTTTTCAATAGGCGATCCCAGAGAACAGTCCTGTCCAACTGAAGGTAACGTTGATCATAAAGAAATGAATTGTTCGCCTGCAATAGTTACGGTAGTCTTCTGATACTTGATGAAGAGTGAAGATATGATCAATACATCCCCAAATGAAATGAAAATAAGCCCGCTACTCGTGATTCGATTTTCTATTGGTTTTGAACAATTTTCGAAGTATGACAGAAGTTGATAGTTCGTAACGAATAGGGATGAAACTCATACCCCAATAGTTGTTGCATAGGCGATGGAAATCATTACAGGAGGTTGGGAAACTAATTTTCAAACTTTTGTGAATAACTAAGCTAGCTCCGTGACCAGAGATTCACCACCGTGCTTAAAAAGATCCAGAGGTTCTTTGACGGTCTATGTTACGTTAGATAGATCGGTTTTCACCATTCACAGAGGACACGAAGTCTTACCCATGTCGCCAGAACTGCAAACCAGCTGTACTATGCTTTGAAGAACTCAAATTAAGACTACCAAGGACACTAAATACACCTAAGTACACTATGACAGAGCAACGCTGTCAAAATAATCTGGTCAGAGATGACTACTGCTATGTCTATCAATCACGAGATATTTAACTTAATTCCGTATATATGTGGAAAAATTCAAGTCTTGGAACAAACTGAACTTCATAAAATTGTGGGTGATAATGAAAAGGTTGATGGCTTGACTAACACGATATAAACATTCTCTGATAGTAGGACTTTATACTATTTGACTAGTACAAAAGTTTTTGATAAAGAGATTTTGCTCTAACTAGTTCATGTACAGCCAATCAGAAAGAAAAGAACCTGGTTGAGGTCTGCATCGCCGCTGTTTGAAGTTACATGGCTCTGAAACGGTCATTAGGAACTAGATGTGTCAACTCTTTATCTTACTTTAGATGTTGAGTTCCAGTATCCATACGCATATATCTTTTTGTCTTTTCAAACCATATTCTCAATATTAAGCTTTCCACACTAACACTTACTAACTTACTTACGCCTGTTATCCCCAATGGAGCATAGGCCGCCCACCAGTTTTCTCCAACCAACTCTGTCCTGGGCTTGCCTTTCCAGATCTTGTTCATTATTCTTACGCCTTTCTTTACCTCTCAGCGTAATGTGATCCATGGCCTTCCTCTTTTCCTTTGACCTTGAGGGTTCCAAGTGGGGACTTGTCTTGTGACGCACGACCGTAGCTGCTACCTTGACGTGGTGGTCGGGCTTGCCTATCGTGATGACCCAACCGAGCTGTATTGGCTGGAACGTGTGTTCCTGCAGGTGCTACCATGCCAGGCAGGTCGATTGCAGAACGATGAGACTAAAAGCAGCTACTCAAGGTCTGAGGGTGAAGTCGTACTGCTGACTGCAGAGGGCTGTGACAACAGTAAGGTGTTTCCCTCGGACAACCAGCATCTGCAGCGATGCTGCCTTCTCACAAGGAAGGAAGGGTTAGAAAACGTCGACCCTAAAAATGTCACACCTCACCCTACCTCACGGATTCCCGTCTCCGGAGGTAAGGGTGCCCACTAAGGGACTTTAAGAGCGGAGCTAATACTCAAAAATCCTTTCATAAAACGGCCGTGAGTGACCGGCCTCAAGCAGTTGTCCCTTGGACTCTACGGTCACGCACCCAGGTCTCTAAGACCAACACTAATCTATCTTCCTTTTCAGGTTCCTCAAGAAACAACCTTCCACGGTGTGGGCAGTCGGGAAGTGACAACCACCCTCATACCCGTAACAGCACCAGAGACCAAATTGGTCGAAATCAAATCCTTCCTACACCCACACATACCTCTCTTCTCTCCACAACTAACTGTACTCACATTCCCTTATCTCACTGCACCGCTAATGCGAACGATGCGAGTTCACGAAACGTCATTCCTGGTCTCTCGAAACCTCGTTCTAGACTACATGTTGGAGCTTTTAATGTACGGACATTGTGTCAAATAGGGCAACAGGCATCATTAGCTAGGACTTTAGAATCTCGTGCCATCGATGTATGCTGCGTCTCGGAAACGCGCATACAGGATCCTAGTGCAATTATTAATCTGGTTTCACCTTGTCAAAATAAAGAAGCAGCTCGATTTACTCTTCGTGTATCTGGAAGCCCTGATGCTGCTTCCCGAGGTCTTGCCGGCGTGGGCATAGCTTTGAGTCGTAGAGTTGAACAATCTCTCCTTGACTGGATCCCAGTAGATAGTCGTTTGCGCGCTGTCCGACTAAACGGGACAGTAAGAACTGGGAAAGATAGGGACACTCGCCGTTGCCTCTTCGTCATATCTGCCTATGCCCCCACTGACTGCAGTGCAGACGAGGTTAAAGATGAGTTTTACAGAAAGCTTTCGGACCTCCTCCAAAAAGCTAGGCGCTCTGATATAGTAATAATGGCTGGTGACTTTAATGCTCAAATAGGTAGACTGGGTGAAAAGGAAAGACATCTAGGTGGATGTTATGGTGTAGCGACTGAGACAACAGACAATGGCGACCGTCTGTTGCAAGTATGCTCAGACAACCGCCTATTCTTAGCAAACACTAACTTTAGGCATAAGGAAAAACATCTGTTGACCTGGCGACCCCCGAAGTCGTCTCAACGTTGGACCCAACTAGATCACATCGACATAAGCCAACGATGGAAGGGTTCGATTGAGGACTGTCGCTTGTTCTAACGCACATGTTTAGATTCAGATCATTCCCTAGTGCGAGCTCGTATTTGTTTGAGGCTTACCGGGCGTAGGGAAGACACCCTAAGCAAGCCTCTTAGGGTTTTACCTAATGATAATGAGGCAATGAATATATTTCAGGAACAACTAAAAAGAGAGTTAGGCAATCATGTAAGCGATTCCCATCCGGAGTCAGGATGGAATGATAACAAAAAGGCTGTGGAAACAGCAGTGATATCTGCTAGAAAGGTTGACCATAAGGCTAGAATGAAACCGTGGATCCCAGTAGCATCCACCGATCTGATGGATGCCCGAAAACTCATCCCACCTGGATCTGAACATGATGAAGAACGAAGTCAACATAGGCGCAGACTTATAAAAAGCCTACGTAACGATCGCGAACAGTGGTGGGTGGCGAAAGCAAAAGCGATGGAAAAGGCGGCGGCGATAGGAAACAGTAGACAACCTTTCCGACTTATCAAGGAAACTGGTATTAGGAATCATAGTGTAAGTGAGACTATCTCGGAAAAGGATGGGACTATTATTTATTCTCAATCCAGGAGACTGGATCGATGGGCAGAACACTTTAGGGATCAGTTCAACTCGCCTCGAGCCACTCTTCGGTTACCCACGATCTCCAGTCATCCTGAATGGCAAATCGACGTAAGTCCCCCTAGTCTTAATGAAGTTGAAAAAGCGTTAGGAAATCTGAAGCAAGGACGAGCTGCAGGTCCTGATAGACTGAGCCCTGAGATGTTTAATGATAGTGATGCAGTTTTAGCAGCTAGATTGACTGAGATCTTAGGTAGAATCTGGGAACTGCACGTAATCCCATCCGACTGGTCTCAATCACTGATTGTCCCAATCTATAAGAAAGGACAGAAATCTTCTTGTGACAATTACAGAGGAATAAGTCTAACTAATATAGTTTCTAAAATATTGGCCTCAGTAATACTTCGACGCCTAACGAAAGCTCGTGAAGAGCAAACTGGAGGAAACCAATCTGGTTTTCGACCTGGACGTGGCTGTATAGACCACATCTTCACACTACGACAGGTCCTGGAACACAGACACATTTAGGCGTCCTACAATAGTTGTTTTCCTGGACCTTGAGGCGGCATTTGACTCTGTAGATCGTGAGGTTCTGTGGCAGTGTCTGTCATTGAAAGGTGTACCAGAGAAGTACATTAACCTCATACAAGCTCTCTACTCGAACACCACTGGTCGAGTGAGAGCTTATGGCGAACTGTCAACGGAATTCTCTACTTCAAGTGGTGTCCGTCAAGGATGCCCACTTTCTCCATTCTTGTTTAATTTTATCATAGACATGCTCCTAGAAATAACATCATCCTCGTCTGAATATTCAGGAGTAGACCTTCTACCAGGTGGCTCGCTTATTGACTTAGAATATGCCGATGACATAGTCCTACTTGGTGAAGACGCTGACAAAATGCAGAGTCTTCTGACTACCCTAAGCAATAATGCAAGCATGTTCGGGATGCGGTTTTCCCCCTCGAAATGCAAAATGTTGCTTCAAGATTGGGTTGCATCGGCACCTGAACTAGTGACAGGGAGTGAAGTAGTCGAAAGTGTAGACTGCTTCACTTATCTTGGGAGTCTCATCAGCGCTGATGGCCTGGTGACTGACGAAATCTCAGCTCGGATACAGAAGGCTCGATTGGCTTTTGCCAACCTGCGTCACTTATGGTATAAGCGAGATATCCGTTTGATGACTAAAGGACGAGTGTACTGCGCAGTAGTTCGCCCCGTATTAATTTATGGCTGTGAAACATGGCCAGTGAGAGTAGAAGATATTCGTAGGTTACTGGTTTTCGATCATAGGTGTCTTCGAAGCATTGCTCGTATATCGTGGGACACCCGAGTGAGCAACTCTGTCATTAGGAATCGGGTGCTAGGTAAGAATGACAGATCAATCGATGAAGTGGTGAAACTTCATCAGTTGAGGTGGTTGGGACATGTGTTGCGTATGCCCAACCACCGACTGCCTCGTCGAGCTTTGTTTTGTAGTGTAGGAATAGGTTGGAAGAAAGTTAGGGGCTGCCAAACCAAAACATGGCAGAAGTCCATGAAGTCATTGACGAGTAGACTTAGCCATGTCGGTAATTGTCGACTACCTGGTTGGGGTCCGCCGGTGCATTTATTTTTAGTGTTCTCTCAAATCCTAATCTTCTGGATTTTTCAACACCTCTAGTTTTTACTTTCTAAACTTTTCTCACTGAATCATATTTCTTGAATATCTTCTAATCCTAACCTCTCCGATTACTTCTAATACCTTTACTACCTCTTCTACTATTGGATTTGGATTGACAATTATATCTATGTGCTGATGTGGTATGGCGACATGAACTGATGTACTTACGTACGAAGTTCTACGTTGCACCTGACTGACTGACTGTCTTGTGACGCAGTTGTGTGATTTTAGTAGTGTGTCCTATCCACTTCCTGATTTCCTCCTCCACTGGAATCTGGTTTGTTTTCTGCCACAGTAAGTTGTTGCTGATAGTGTCTGGCCAACGAATCCAAAGTATTTTGCGTAAACAACTGTTAATAAACACTTGTATCTTATGGATGATGGGCTATGGTAGTTCTCCAAGTTTCCGCTCCATACAGTACAACTGTCTTGACATTTGTATTGTAAATTCTGACCTTGGTGTTGATTGATATTTGTTTGGAGTTCCAGATGTTGACGTCTTCATAATGCAGTCGATCACCAGGAGAAAGGGTGAGAGTAAGCAACCTTGCCTGACACCGGTCTTCACCTCTAACGAGTTTGTCAGGTGACCTCCGTGCACGATTTTGCAGTTTAATCCATCATAAGAATTCCATATGATGTTGACTGTCTTCTCAGGCACGCCGTAGTGTCGAAGAAGCCTCCATAGTGTTTTACTGTCCATGCTATCGAATGCTTTCTCGTAGTCGATGAATTTGATGTAGACTGGTGAGCTTCATTCAATTGATTGTTCCACAATGATCCGTAATGTTGCATTTTGGTCAGTACACGATCGATCCTTACGAAATGCACCCTGTTGATCTCGAAGTTGGGCGTCGACGAATTCCTTTATTCTGTTTAACAATACCCTGTTGAAGACTTTGCCTCGTATTGAGAGAAGAGTGATGCCTCTGTAGTTTTCACACTTGCTGAGATCGCCTTTCTTTGGTATTTTGATGAGGTATCCTTCTTTCCAATCTGATGGTACTTGTTCCTCATCCCAAATCTTCTTGAAGAGGATGTGAAATATTTTCGCAGTTGCTTCCACGTCTGCTTTCATTGCCTCTGCTGGAATGTTGTCTGGACAACTAAAAATAAGGTGCATGTGATTGTGACTGACCTACTACTGCTTAAATACACAAATCATGAGTTTAGCGCAGTCGTTAAGAAATTAGCCATGAATAACTCGAAACGAAAACACGTACCTGTCGAACTAAGATATCGCCCTTATAAACATAGTCCCCATCGTTAAATTGAAAACCACGAAGAGTCTTCACAAGTACAGAAGGTCGGTATTTAGAAGGGGTCTCGGCGTAGTTCCTCTTCTTTTTAATTCCTGCGCACCTGAAAGGTTGTCTAAAAATTACTGAAAAGATTAAAAGAACTAAACTCTATTACCTAGTTGAGCTGAGCGTAAAAGACCTCCACCGGACAAAGACATAACAAGATAGTTGTGTTTGAAAGTGGGTGACCTGAAACGGAAAACTTCATATCTGTATAGTAGGAAAGAAACACAATAGTATGTTGCAAGGAAATAAGCATACGGGCAAATGAACTGATGTCCTAGAAGAAGCTAGTTTTGATCATACAGGCGCAAAACTGGAGTACCTAAGTGAGATATAATTCTGTGACAGTGATAAAATATCGTTTAGTGGATGACATTTGGTATACAACTTATAAAATGCTATTCAAAAAGGTTCAAGATCATATCCTGTAAACCTGATACTATTCATCCTTTAGTATTACTAACAACAAAACCCTCTATTCTATCTCCAACTAATTTTTATGGGACCGCTTTTGATTGCTCTCAAAAATTCCCGAACCAATATTTTAAGAGTTGATAGTACTTAATTCTTCGTCAATGAGTTAAAGACTCTTCAACTACTTCGGCTTTTGTAGCCAGCATACAAGATCCCAAGTTTGCTGGGCAGCACTAACCAAATCGACTTAGAAGTTTTCAAAATTACATTTAATAATTCCATACTTTTGGCAGGGAACTCGAAATATGTCTAGGTAACAGTTTTATGAAAATATTAATATTAATTGACTTTACCAACATAATCAACCCTATCTTTAGAAACCAAGAGCAGGTATAAGTGAGGGTCAGTGTCATCACACAGAAAAGTAATAAGATAGTTAACGCAGTACAAATCTATATATTGTTATCCATGAATTTAGTGAAAAATTAACTTTTACGAAGCCTGATAAGCAAAAACCTGTCGTCTACATAAAGAACCCATATTTCTGGCTTGACAAGTAGAAAATCGATGCTTCTAGTCTCTGAACCACCGCTTCGATTTTACCAGTGATCAAGTCAAAAATGTGGGTTGGTTATTAAGACAACACATTCGTCATTATTAAGAGACGAGCTGGAGAACACCTATCTTCCAAGAGAACAGCTATTCACGCAAAAAAATCAACTGAAACCAACAGAAGGGAAATTAGGTGAAGGAACTAACAAACGGATCATCCTATCATAAAAGACATACAGGATTTTACAGCACGACAACTGAGACCATTTGGAATAGGTGTAGCACATAAACCAACAGAATCACTTTAATCAATCCTATGTAAACCAAAGGACAAAATGACAAAGGAAAAATCAAATACCACCTACAAAATAAACTGCTCAGACTGTAAACAACACTACATAGGACAAATTGGACGTTCACTCCAGCTTCGTTCGCGTGAACATCAATTAGCAGTCAAACGCCACGACATTTCTTCCCTTATATCGAATTACACGGACACCTATCGACAAATATTCGACTGGAACATTATTGAAATACAGGATAGAGGCAGTAGAAAGAACACTAGAGAATTTTCAGAAGTTTAGCACTCAGGCCAATCTGCAATCAACAAACACATAGATATTGACTCAATTTATCAATCAATTAGAAAAATCATAAGTAAACATGAGTCTGCCAGTCAGTCAGTTACAACGTAGAATCTCGTACGTAAGTACATTAGTTCAAGTTGCCAGATCACATTAGCACAGAGGCGCAATTGTCCGTTCAAAACCCATAGTAGTAGAGGTAGTATAAATACTAGAAGTAATCAGAGGTTAATGATTGGATATATCATTCGAGATGGATACCCCAGAGAAATAAGATAAATCGAAAAAACGGTCATGAGACATTCAGAAAATTAGAATTTGAGAGAAAGCAAAGAATGAATGCATCTGCTCCATTGCTGACGATTTTGAGCCGTCATTCAAAGTCTCTAACCATTGGTTACTATCGTCTCGCGGACCCCAACCAAGTAGTCAAAATCTACCAACATGACTCAATTCATTTGTCAGTGACTTTATGCATTTGTGCCACGGTTTGGTCTGGCCGCCTATAGCTTTCTTTCGACTGACTCAAACACCACAAAACATAGCTCATTGAGGCAGTCGGCGGTTGGGCATACGTAACACATGTCCCAACCACCTTGAATGATGAGGTTTCACTACTTCATCTACTTATTTGTCATCCCTACCTAGTACTCGTTGCCTAGAGATAGCAATGCTTACTCAGCTGTCCCAAGATACACAAGCAATACTTAGAAGACATCTATAATCGAATACCGATAACCTGCGAATATCCTCAATACTTAGCGGCCATGTTTCGCATCCGTATAGTAGAATAGAGCGAACTGCTGCGAAGTGCACTCGTCCTTCGGTTACAAACGGATATCTCGCCTACGCCAAAGTGATGCAAGTTGGCAAAAGTCAATCGAGAGTTCTGTATCCGTGCTGAGAATTCGTCACACACCAAGCCATCAGCATTCATAAGACTCCCAAGATAAGTGAAGTGGTCTACAGGCTCAATCGATTGACTCCCTATCATTAGTTCAGGTGCCGACGCTAGCCAATCTTGATGCAATATTTGCATTTCGACGGGGAGAATCGCATCACGAATATGCTTGCACTGTTGTTTAGGATAGTCAGAAGACTGCATTTTGTCACCGTCTTCACTAAATAAAACTATGTCATCGGCATACTTTGACAAAGTTAAACAAGAATGAAGAGAGTGGACAGCCCTGACAGACACGAATCGAAGTAATGAATTCCGACAACAGCTCGCCATAAGCTCTCACTTGACCAATGGTGTTTGAGTAGAGAGGTTGCATAAGGTTAATGTACTTCTCAAATGACGGACACTGCCACAGAACCTCACGATCGACAGACTCGAATGACAGATGAGGACAGTTGCAAAGCATTACTAAAACACTAAAAAGGGGAAATGGTATTTCTGGAGAACGAATATTGCAATCATCCGAGTGATCCTCTGACTCCAAACGCATTGTTGCTATCTTGAACACTTTTGATCAAGCTCAGATACTTCCACGAATCCCAAACAAGCTAGTAGTAGGTTCACTAGCTGATTCTTTTCCCACGTGGCTGATTTCTCATTTCAGTTAAACCGTACTGGCCTTATTTTGTGTATTTAACAACACTGGTTTACAAGGACAACAGTATCAGATTCAACTATGTTGAATATAGCTTGGCCTAAAAATCGCCACGATTCAGTCATTTCTAATTGCTTCCCACCGAGTATACTCAACTCTCAAAGACAATACAAATTATGTTCCCCCCATAACTCTCTAAAAGGTTTATCATTCGTATACGGAAGGAGCACGACATGCTCTCGTTAGGAAATCACACATGAAATATCATACTATGAAAGCTCCAGTTACCTTGAGTTATATCTTTTAGTCTAAGAAAACACTTCTGTTTGTGAATAGCAATCTGATACGACTATGTGCTGACCATGCACGTAATACAGATATCTGGGATCAAAGAGAATGATATGTGGGGTAAACGGACGGCTTCATGAATCCTTGAGTCAGGGAAATATCAGCTGTCTGTTTCACTTAGATTGTTTATTCGCGCAACGTGACCACGATATAATAATGGGCCAACCTTATCTAAAGTTGCGAACTTTATAATCTGACAGAATTTATTCATACATATGGACAACATTTTGGCATTGTAGCTGATGTCATGTAATGAAAACCTCAATTATATTCCTTGACCTAAGCCTATTACTAAAAATTTCACCCTAATGCATGAGATTTCTTAAATCAACCAAAACTTGACTTTTTGATTCATTTTATATCATTAGAACTGCAGAAATAAGTGTTCGTTGACTTTCTGTTCACGAAAGATATTGAAGTGAAATGTCTCATTATTTTTCCATACTCCAACGAAAGAGTCCGATTTTAGTTGCGATTTAACGGGAACTAACACTAAATTTTTCTAGCCAATTATGCCTGTATTTCCTTAAAATTAGGCTTTATTTCCTCATTCTTATTTTATGTGATTGAAACCACATTTAACTACCGAAATAAAATCATATTTCCAATTGAAAGTCAATTAAAGCAACGTTTAAAATATTTTACAGTGCGTTACTAATATGGAGACGAGTGTAACGTTAAATACCAGTAACTCACTGCAACCCAGTAACGTTACTCTACAAAATGGGAAACCACGACCTTGAAAGGAGTAAAATGTCGAAGAATGTATGCAAGAATTATGTAGAAAAGTAGTTAGTCGGTTGAGCTATACTAACCAAAAAATTACGTCGTTCTGGCCTCACACCATTAAAATCTGATTATACTCTTCGTAGGCCTAGTTTCAAGGCACGACACTCGAGCAATATCTTGAGGTAGATGAGACACTAAAATGCGACAAGGCATAGACAACTATATTATTTTCCTCGAAAATATATTGGACCAAAAAATGTAGTCCAGCTTTCAATACTGTCTGAAATATTGCTTCTCAGGAAAGGAGGTGGGAAGGGAGTTTAAAAGATAATAGTTTAATAAAACGAGTGCATTCATGACCAGTGTTACGTCCAAGTTTTGCTCCCTCCGGTTATTGAAGTACAGTATGTCGATCTATTTGCAATTCACGAGCCCAAATTAACAACAGAACCAAACTCCAAAGTTAGGTACCAAAGTCTATTCGCAATTCACAAATAGTCGACCAAAATGTCGTTCTAACAACAATAATTATAATAACTACAAAAACCTTCAATTTTATAGGTTCCTGGAGCGAAAACTCCCTATTATCAAACCAAGACAAACAGAAACCAAAATGTCCGAAAATTATAAACCAAACAAGTTCATAAGTTAAATAAAACAAACATACCCAAAAAACACAGTGAAACTAATGATATTTATATAGAGGTTTTAATCAGCCAAATGTCTTCATTTCTCCCGTAACAACCTCCAAGAGATTGTTGAAAGTGTAGTTCACCACAACATTTAGCTATGAGTTCTTTGCGAAGGCACAATACCGTGCACCGTTCAGCAACGGTCGCAAAAAGTATTTAAGAGGTAGCCAGGTATCAATAGTTCGTTGTCGTAAAACTACACTGCTTGCTGAGTTAGATGCTCCTCCTGTAAAATTAATTGAAGCCTAGGTATCCATGTATGCCAACATTGTTGGCATTGTTCGGTTGTGGTATGAGATTTGCCCATTGACGCCGAAGTTAATAAATTTCGCATTTCCACGAATTCTGTCGCTTAAGGACACTCAGATAGGAATAAATCTGTGGTAAAAACGTACGAGCCCTCTGAAAGTGCGTTCAGAATGGCCGTCTGTTTATTTTCTAAAGAGTTTAAATTTTAAGCATCAATAGGATATCAGAGAAAGTCGAGATCGGTTTCAACTTGAGACTTATATATGTAACCGGTGATGTCGTGTTTCCTAATTCGTCGAAAAACAGGATCCACATGCCGAGGGTGAGACCGTCTGTCCAAAACTGAGATTAAACTGTCATCAATATGAGCGTTCATATGGTCAAAACCCCTCAAAACGTCGTTGATGAATCTTTGGGAGGTTTCGGGCAACATAGGCATATGGGAAAAATAGTGATGACAGCTGTTTTAGGGAGGTCATCAAAGGCCACAGGGAGTTGTTTATACGCTCTAGTCGAGCCTAGAATTTAAAAAAGAGTCGAGTCTGTTATAATGGTTGTTGAGTATGGGATGTGAGGAAACGGGCACAGATAAGGCTTGGATTTTGCATCCCATCGTCTTTTATCAGCAGATTGGCACCAATCACTTTTGTCCTTTTTGTGACCAAATTCAATTAGGATACCAATGTGTTGTTTGACAGCGGTAACACCTTAAATCCATCACGTGACCGAATTCGTTTTTGGCACGACTTGGCCTTTCATGACCTAGTTATCTGGCTTCTGAGCATATAATTGGTTTTGCAATTGTGCTGTGACGAGTAACAATGCTATTTAAGCGAGCTAGAGAACCTCTATGATTATATCAGTATTGTAAATGAAATGGCCTGGTGAACCGGCTATGGTTGCCGTCAAAGAATACCGACGAGAGAGTTTCCCAGGATGACTGTGATAGAAGATTGAGGAATACGAAAGTTACATGGTTTCTCGCACTTTCTGGAAGATTTGCGGTAGGTATTGTATTATTCACACCAACCTGACTTACTGCTTTGAGCAGTTGGAGACGGATTCTGCCGAGAGGTTTTTGATCGTTCGAGATTGTGTTGGGGATATAGAGAGAGCCTGATTGTTTTATAGAGGACTGTACTCACATTAAGGTTCAATCTTAGTTTTTTCGAGAACGAAAACCTCACAAATAGAGGTTCTGCTGATCTCCAGAACCTGAGTGACAGATATAGATAGTTACTCTTTGACATCATTTTGAGATGAGGCAGGTACCTGCTATGGAAGTTTCTATAAGATGAGTTGTTGGGTGTTCAGTTTACAAGAAGACATGGTGATTATTACGTGTGTATTTCTTAAAGAATAGTGATTAGTACTGCTTTTTCCACATCTAGACGTTTTGAAATTTGCTTGAATATTTTTACAAATCTTGAATATATATGTATGTTTTCATGAACTAATTCCATGCTTCGATCAACTGACTGAAGGTGAATGTCAGGTTTTTCAAGGTAGCTTGATACTTGATTCACGGAATATCCACCTGGCATACTTATTGGGACAAGACGTGATAACCACCCTGAGCAAGATCGTAAGTTCAAGACTTGAAGTAAAGTACAGTGTGACTGACGAAGGAACTTACCGTCAAAACAGCCATATTTGAAAACAACATTCTACAATAATGGTTCTTGTTCCAGATTTGAAAGTGTTGGTTCTGTGGTACATTATAACAATCAACGCCAAAGACCAATTACTGGTAAGTTATGATCAAAATTTCCGCTTGACACTGTGACTGCTTCTAATATAATGAGTAGAATGCTGTAGTCAGTACAATCAAAACAGGTGTCAGCCTGTGAGCACATGCTACCTACGACAAAGGCGTCTGAAGGTGAACTTGAACGACATTATTTTGTCGGTATGTGAACACTTGACATAAGTTCATTTATCGGCTCTCATTATAAATGAATTTTCTACCGTAGCAGTTCAAATGGTTTCCAGTAAGTGCAATGCGAACGCGTATCTCCTAGTCCAATGTCCAAAAAACACAACAATTCTAGGAGAAAACGGTCTATATTATATTAAAAGATGGAATTACAAAGCAATACCTGAAGTTGATGCACTTTCCAAGTCACAATTACTCCGAGGAGTATCCAAGGTAAAGGTAATAAGTCCAACCGCCACAGTATCAATCCAAATATGGCTGTAGCCATATTAAAGATCAAATTTAAACAACATATATACAGTTCAGAAGCAAACATAAAAACTTCAATATAAGTACAAAATATAGAAATAATAACAATATACAATGATAAAATCTCAAATTGGAATCAAATAAAATACCCAAACGTCAACAGAAAAAGTCCGTCATGTCATAACAAAAATATATAGACATGGAGGGATTTTCCAAAAAACAAAACATTCAAAAAAGATTCTACACTCATCTCGTTATGATATGGTTTTAGGTACCTGTAGTATCAAACATTGTTAGTTCAGTGTAATATATTCCTGATGAATAAGTGGTTATTTAGGTTTAACATGTGTCAAATTCAATCGAGTGCGTTTGTCCAGGGGGGAATCGGGTTGCCGGGAGCTTCGAACGACACCTTAAGGCAATCAGCTTCATAGTCTAAATAGAACTGTAAAGCAAGTTTAGAACACAGGTCAGATCGGGTGTAGATTGAAAGCATATAATGATAAACAAAACAAATACAATGCATAAGTGTATCTGGACCCAAATAATAGGACATTAGTATCACAAGAAAAATGGAATGTTACAATTCGTTTTAAATGACTTTGGAAATATCACTAGATGTGATGGTGATTGTTTAACGGCCTACTACTTTTGGGGTGGGTCTGACATAGCGACTTGCTTTATAGCTCTCGGATGCATCAAATTTCCACAGGCTAGGTGCCTGTGTAATTCTTGTCGTTAGGTAGCAGAATATTTTGGCAGTAAAATCGTCAGAATAGTTATCCAACCTTGTCTTGTTCCACATATCTAGACACAAAACCTTTGAGTTTTCGTAAACACTTATGGTTTCCACCAGGTAGCATATATATTAGAGACGATTCGTTTGTAAACACTATTCAGGTATTGTTGTTCACTTTTGGTTTTTCGTTTTACTTCAACAGATGCGAATTTTAGAAGAAGCAGAATATTGAGGTGACTCAGTACGCCATATACTAAACTCAGATAAGGTCTTATTATTTTATGCCTATAATAAAATGACGGATTGGGTCTCCGTAACTCTTTAAATCGCTGCATTTCACGTTTCTGAGTAGATTCGCAGAGTCTCACTTAGCCAAAAAGCATTAAGCAAAGCTTTACGTTTTCAGAAGCAATGGTTCGAAACTCAAGCAGTAAGAAGAGGAGCTGTATTTAATTAGTGATACAGAATGCGGAAAGTTACTGCGTTCCTTCGATGGTTAATAGTAATATTCATCACTTCTGTGAACAAAGGATCTGTCCACTCTTCATTGAGTTGTTATAAGTATCGTTTCTATAGAGGCAATGTACCACCTCCTACCCTCTATAATGAAGAAAAACATGACGGCTCACCACAGTTTTATGGATGGGTAAGGACTGAATTACTGGGGATTTCCGGAGGTCCTCTTTAGATTGACTGAACAAAGAACATATTAGCATGGGTTTGTGCTATACACTAAGCGCTGGTGTTATCCACCTTGAATGCTGCTCCATTGTTGGTAGGGAGAGCGGGGAGTTACAGCTAATTCCTTAGTTTAAAAGAGCGTGAACCTATGGACCATTTCAATTCAAACTGTGTCAATAAAACGGTATGGCGAAGATTTGGATGCTTACGAGAGGTCGAGAGCAGGGGTACATATAGACACCTAGAAAATTGTGCTTATGGTTCGAGATCTGGGTTATATTCACCTGTAAGTCTCATGTATCTAAATGGAAATATTAGTGAGTTGAAGTACACTAAACCTATCCAGCTGATTAAAAATTAGGCATTACTGAAAACATTTACAACAATAGAACATTTCAAGACCTACAAAATAGAAACGTACTAAGCTTAAGTACTGTATTCCTTTACCGAAGTCCTGATGTTTTGACTACTTGTGAGATCGAGAAAATGAACCACTATTTGTTGCATTTTGAACAAAACAAGGTCGGTGAAAGATAGAATACATGATTGTGGATGACCGTTTCACCGGAAACCGAAAGAGCATCGAGAAGTGCGATTAAATATGCCACTCGAGAATAAATTGTATCACTAATTATATTAATAATGCTTAACTACATTTTCTTCCTTGTAATCCTCAAATGTGTCTGAATCTAAAGGCTAGTAATAAAACGGTATGATCACATATACCTTGTCTTTGTTATATTCCTGTCTAATTCTAACTTGAACTTGTCAAGCTACCAGTAGGATTTTTTGTTCAGTAGGACGTTTCTCCGGTTCTCAACATCTAATCACTATCTGTTAATGCTACAGACTTTCACTGAACGAAGTATTTTGAAACGACTCAGATTTACTAATGCAGAAATAACAATGTATTAAGTGAGGCATGACAATTAACAGGCAAGATCAAAGTGTTAAAAATGACAGCATATTTACTACAAAAGATTGTGCAGTTGCATGAACGTTTTGTAGTAAACATTGGCTTTTTGCACAGCTGTAATATCTTTTACAAAAATTTTTTAAATTTTTCAGACTCTGGCATGCAAAATTCACTAGTAGCATTGCGAAGGTCTGATGGTTTAAAATCAGTGCAAGTTAAATTCAGGGATGTATGTAACAAGAATTGATGAGGTAGGTGTTTATTTATCTTCTTGATGGAGTTCTCTGGATAGTAATTTGATAGGCTCCTGGTTGTAGCAACTGTCAGTTTACAGGAATATCGAGGATTTTATTTAAGAGAAATTACGAAAAATGAGCGAGGAGCAGTAGAGAAATTACTCCTATCTAAAGATGAATCACTATCTCATCCTCACAGCACAGACATATAAAGTGAAAAGAATGAAAATGATGCTCGAATTCTGGCAATCACAAGGAACTCACACTTCCTGTATCATCGTGAGTTACTTCTTCTCTGACAGTTTAATAAATTTTTATTTACCCAATTGATTAACACCCAAATACCGCTTTCTGATTTATTTATCGACTTACTTATGAATTTTTGCAGTTTTTCTGCTTTAACTCCGCCTGGAGCCTATCTTGAGGTCATGCAAGCCCCGAGCTCGGATAAAGGAGCACGGGGTTGGCGACCCCATCCCATGGAAAGCTAGGTCACTAAAAAACGCTAACCAGGAAACGTAATTCAGACCATTTTGACTCTGTTCTAAGAGTTGGAAGGTCTTCATTGAGAACAGTTATGACGACTCATGATAAAAGCAGAGATCCTTCCGAAAATACGAGATCGATGACATTTCTCACAACCAAGACCACCATTCATTTAGGAAAATGGAATGTTTTAACAGTGTGGAAAATCGTGAGCATCATCCAAGTTGCTTCAGAAATGCGATATACAACTTTGAGGTGCATGGAATCAGTGAAACATGATGAACGCTGGTTAGACAAAAAGATGGTCCTGGATAAGTACAACGATTGCCTTTCAGCACCAAGACCAACAACCATTGGAGATATCCAGGGTAGTGTGTTAGGTTCACTCTTGTTACATAAACGATATATATAATACTATAAGATTTGGAAGAGCATACATATATGCTGATGATCTGAAAATAGTATACAGCTATAAGCCTGAAGATCTGGACGAATATGTAGACAGGATTCTGAGTAATCTTGATAACTTAACTACGTGGAGCGAAACATGGCAGCTACCGTTAAACCACAACAAATGTGGCATCATGCATTTTAGTAAGCATCACCATGTTATACCACTATACTTACAAAACTGTAGGGTTCAGACACCTATGTCAGCGCGTGACCTTGGTATTAGTTACTCTAAAAGCCTAAAATTCGAATAACATGCCTCAAATATTATCTCTTAATCTAGACGACTAATTGGGTTTATAAACAAGAACTTCTAGACAAGTGAGGCTAAGCTTACACTCTTCAAAATCTGTATAAGGCCCTCACTTGAATATGGTTCACTTATCTTCTCAAACATGAATATCATGGACAAGATACTAGTGGAAAATGTCCGAAGAAGCTTCATCGGGCGACTGCTATGATGGAGCCATAACCTCGACTACACAGAAAGATGCAAACATCTTTCCCTAGAACCACTTTGGCGCTGTTGGTTGAAAAACAATCTAATGCCTCTTCACGACACTGCTTACATACTTGGAAACAACGCATATACACTTTTAACGGCAAAACACAAAACGTCGTTTTAATCCAACTTTTTATAATACGATACAGTCTACTGTGGAACAGATTTCCAATTTCTATACATATCCGTGACTCAATCAGCAGGTTCAATAAACTAGTCCAAAAAATATTTAAATTAACCTTCATAACTAATAACAGACCATGAATATATTGTACACACATTAGCTTCCGTACACGTATCACGAAATGATAGACGAATCCTCCATCTCCTACTAACAGAAATAGGTTACGCCTCTGAGATGCTACCAGTGACGTTTCTCTAAATTTAAATTCCAATCATTATTTTCATATCTTCAAAGCAGTTTTGGTTTTTATTTTTAATATACAGATAAACTGAAGAGCCTGTAGATGTTGATCGACTACTGTCAATTACAAGGAACTCAAACTTCCTGTATCATCTTGAGTTCCTTCTTCTTCAACAGTTTAATAACAGTTCAGTAAATTTTTATTTCCCAAATTTATTAACATCCAAACAACTTGCCTGCTTACCAATTTGTCCTTTACTCATTAATTGTTAACACCATTTCTACCCTTTTTATTTCTCCAGCTCCCAATCCTTCCTATATCCAAACCACCGATTAACTGACACATATCTTACAATTTATACCATTATTTTACTTAAGATCAGTGTGATATGCTACATGGATATTTTGCCCTACATACATAAGGCAAAGTTATCTGGTTTGCTTGTAACGTGGAGCTGGTAGAGAATGTGTATTCCTAAAAAGTGTATAAAAAATAGAGCGCAGACTAAAAAATCTACCATTAATCTTAAGAGAGCCTAACATCACAAAAGGAGGGAGGGTGGTGTATCTGATCAGCATTCATGATGGTGGGGCAGTAACCTCAATCTAACCATGTATGTGGGGCAAAACATTTTGTTTGCTAACGATTATATAGCAGGGTGTAACAAATCAGTGATATTGATGTTAATTTTTCCTTGTCAACCTCGTCTACGACTCTTGTTCGTAACTTTGCACTGGTTTTAACTTCCTACCACGGAATCCTATGACAACTATACTGAACTGAAAATTATACTGAAAAAGAGCTCACACATGACTTCTGGTGCAACAGAGTTGAAAAGTAAAAGAATAAATAAAATATCACGAAGGCATCAGATCATTGTACCTCATTACCACATTCTGTACATCAACATTATTGCTAACAATTCGGTTCTTCTGAATTTCCGAAATTCACACGATTAATTGCCCATTCGTTATCTTACTACCGTACTGTCTTCATTAACCTACATAAGTGCAGGCGTACAGTCAGTTTTCTAATTTTAGAAAGTATCTGCTGGGCCATTGTTCGGCTTTAAAAAAGAAAATTTTCTGTTCTATTCCTCGTGCAGTTCTCTTTATATCTCTTTTTCAGCACCTTATTCAAATCCTTAAATATTGTTCTGGATATTTGCCAAGGAACTGATAACTTTACCCAGGAGCCCGAAAATTTATTATATGAAGAATATCAAGCAGATTTTAGAATATTTGCTTCATCAATTTTTGTTAGATGCAAACCTTGTTCTATCTTTCATTGTTTCGCAGTCGTTAGCATGTAGTGCCTCCACATTTATTTGCATCCGCTTACATTTAATTTGCTTAAGCCCTTTCGATTATTTTCTTTAACCAAGCCATTCGCGTAGCAACAACTTGTATGTACCATTGGCTTTTATAATTGTTTGGTTTGTATGAGCTGGTATGACTGAGCATTGCTTAACGCCTACGCGCATATGCATCCTATTCGCTTTAATGTTAATGTCTTAAATACCACGATGACTCAGACATTTTCCTTTGTATATATACGAACATTTTAATCTTATTAATTCATTCGCCCATTCGCATATTCGCTCGCTAGTGTGTCTGCCCGGTCTGCCTGCGGTCTACTATCCTTATTTGTGGTGTGCCTCAATAAACGTATACGATACTTCGAATTCAACCGTCAGACGTCATTTAGTAACGATTGTCTGAACGAGGTAATTACGAAACGTAAGAACACGAAGTAAATCGGCACACTACAAGCATTTCGTCGTAACGCAACTGTTGTAACTGGCGCAGATTGTTCACGTATTCTGCTGAGTCTGGAGATTATCAATAAATTTATGTGGAAAAATTTTAGCCACATATATGACACTAATTTATCTTGTGAAATATTTCAGTAAGTGAACAAAGTTTTACAGAAATATGTTAAATATATTAAAAATTTGATCTTGCCTGTAAACTGGCATGCTTCTTGTAAAGTGTTGTTATTTGAGATTAAATTATAATTATTATTAACAAGATTTGGAATGGAGAAAAAGTAACATCAGACTGGAGAGAAGGTTATCTCACCAAAATACCAAAGAAACGTGATCTCAGCAAATGTGAGAACTATAGAGGCATCACTCTTCTCTCAATACCAGGCAAAGTCTTCAACGGGGTATTGTTAAACAGAGTGAAAGACTTTGTAGATGCTCAACTTCGAGACCAACAGGCTGGATTTCGCAAGGATCTATCGTTTACTGACCAAATTTCAAAATGACGGATTATCAGGGTACAAGCTGTTGTTTGTAATCCACAACTCCACGTCAACTTCACTGACTACTAGTAAAAACTTGACAGTGTGGACAAGACAACATTGTGGAGGCTTCTCTAATACTGTAGCATGCTTGAGAAGATAGTCAACACCATACGCAGTTCTTATGATGGATTAAACTGTAAAATCGCGCGCGGAGGAGAGCTGGCAGACTCGTTCGAGGTGAAGACCAGGTCAAGAAAAGTTGCTTACTCTCACACTTTTTCCAGCTGATCAACCAAATTATGAAGACGTGAACACACCAGATATATAGGGTGTGAAGGAATTGGGCATAGAATTTTCTGGACAATGTTACGATAGTAGTCTTATCAGTGCAGTTCATGAAGTTAAATGAAACTCCTACGACATTTTGAGATGCTACATCTTCATCCCAATAAAGAATTTCAGATATATTGTTACTGGGATAATCAACACGAACGATTGCCTCAATATCAGCTTACGACCATGCAAACAGAATGTCTTTCATGTCAACACACGTTGTTGCAACCCACAAACAACTGTCTAAACAAAAGAAAATTTTAAAATCCAGTGCTTAGAATAGTTTTTTTGATGCTGTTAAAACACTTGAAACAGAGAGCCAGCAGCAATGTATGAAGGAAAGTTAACTAATTTTTACTAAAAAAGATGATGAAAATATTGGTTATTGTCTGTCTTCCCCTATCGCTAACCTAAATGAAATATTCGACTAAATTATTCTTGAGGGGTTACGAAGAAACACTAGTGAGTTTCGAGTGAGGTGTCGATAGGTAGATAGATATCAGCCTAATATTTCCTTATTATACAACCATTTATTATAGAAAGAGGCTGAAATAACATCATGTGCAATGGGCTTTGTCTTCTCCTGCTGACACTCTGAAGGTTGTAAACATATATCATCCTGTTTCCTAGCTTCGAAATTAACACTCAAGTTTTAAAGTGAGTTCAGAGACAGTCACAAAACGTTTCGTATTTAAGAGAGACACGAACATTTCATGCTTCTGATAGATGAACTTGAAAACTGTGTGGCACAAAAGATTAGGAAGTGATATGATAATGACTAATCACATTGCTCATCACGTTTGTATTTCTAATATATGACATGTACTAGTCTAGACCAAACACAGACTGATATCGTAAAAGACTGAGTTATCGTTTTAGGACTGAATTACCTGACATGCAATTACTCATGATCGATCAACATACAACATTTTCTTCCATATTACTTTCCTGAAAAAAGTTATTTTACTTTCTGGTACCTAATGTCGACATAGTACAGTCAGTAAAATATCTGATGATTTTGCCAAATGGAGCTCGAACCGTACCGAAGGAAAAAGAATCGAGCGCAAAGAAATCAATTGGTTTATACTAGCTCGTGAAAAATATATTGGAAGTTGGAATATTTGTTTAGTTACACTACTACACCAATAGACTGTTAGTAACGCCTCAAATCGCATTTGATTTTCAGATGGCTCTGGATACTGTGCAAAATGTCGAGAACTATATCAGAGACATTGCGAAAGACCGCAGATGCAGATTTAGTGAAAACTTTTTGGATTACGATCGTTTAAGATCTGGATATGTTACTGGTAATGCAGTATAATTATCGATCTAACCGGTTTAGGTAACCAATTCTTACGAATCTTAAGGAATCTGATCGGTGTCCCGCTTAAGGATTCACAAGAAAAACTCATTTTCGAAAAGTATGGAATCGATGGGAACCGATATATCAACTGGAGGGAATTCGTTCGTGCAATAGAAGGCAGATACGATGGGAATGATTCCACTGTACCACCGGAATTAAAGATTCTTCAAACAATAGAGTAACATGTTAAATATTGCTAATAGACTAGATCTCCGAGAGTGGGTACAAAATCGCAACAGAGGCTTTCTGTTGATGGAAAACTGGAGACTTTCAGACCGTTGCTTTCTAGAATCAATCAATTTATTTCTGATCAAGGTTATATAATACGTCAATGCTTTAAACAATACGATGTTCATAATACAGGCGAAGTAACTGAGTGTCAAGTTTGTAGATCTTTTTGAACTGTGCTAAATAGTTTTAGTTTTACAGAGCGTTTCCTGGTCCTAAAGATATTAGTAACGAGGAAATGAAATCTCTTGTCCATCATTACAAATCGTTAATTAATCCTGGTTTTGTGGATTACATGGCTTTTGAAAAAGACCTTAAGATGATTGAATTTGAAGAAAAAACCTTGAGAGACAACGTAATGCATGTAGTAAGTCTTAATAAATGTCTTAACCCAATGTTAATGAGGACATGATCGAGAATTTAGCCTTACGTACAATTTTCGGGGCAAAACTGTAATCAGATTTAGATGGCTGTATCATTTGATTTTATATAGGATATGTCAATCTTAAAACTTATCTGTCTTATCTTAGCTACTTTGTGGAATTTAGATGAAAAATGTTCAACTAGGGTCCATTTGTGATAATTTCTTGAAAACTAGGTTGTCTTCCTATTTGCTAGTAAATGCATTATTCAGAAATTTACTGTTGTGGGGTGTTGTAACATGTACAGACTTATCATCGACCTTTTTCACTTGGACTTATAAGCATTGGGGCGGCTGTCGATACCATTGATCGTGAGATTATTTCTTAATGCTTGATAAAAAATGGAGAATTTTTATTTGAAAACCACTGTTTTAGTCAGAAGTTGTGACAAACTATTATTGAAGTCTTCAAAATTATGTTCTTTAGTGATACGGATCACATCATATCTTGACCGCTTGAATCGTTCACGCTTCGTTTGAAGTCCCATAGGTTGATATAATTTCATAACTACTAACCAAGTTTGACTGCTTAAATGAAAAAAGCTCTATTTGGTGAGGAATCTCACTTAAAAAAAGGATCTTGGCAGCCTTGAGAAAAAATGATACCATGTGTGAGACGTCTTTGTCCCCATTTAAACTTGAAAGTTTGGTTAAGGACTGGTTTTTGTTATCCCTTAGGTTATTCATGGCGAGCAAAGTATTTGATTGTGCCAACGACATCACTAATCATACAGGCTTTAACATCTGTGATGGGTTGATGCTTGATGAAACCTCGAAAAGTAAAAACTGATTGACTTTCCGTAAAATGTATAGCCATTCTCTCTGCAATACCTGATGAATGTGAAGCATGATCCTTGTAGGTAGGAGACATGAATATGTTTTGAACGTTGACCAAAGATCTCCAGCATTGTTGGCATAAATTTGGACCCCCGACCTAAAACATAGAATAACAGGTATGAATGGTGAATAAGACGAAATCGTTAATCTCCATCGAATTAGATTGATGAAGTATTAATTATACATGTCAAATCACCGCCTACTACTTGGCTGAAGTCTGTGTGCCTGTAGCGATCACTGCTAGGAAACTGTGAGTAACACGGCTCATAAATGATCACATCAAAACAAATACCGTGTGTTCTAGAGTAATTTTGCATCTTTTCTGTTGATTTAGTCTTACTACCATTGATACTACTGTCCTTCTCAAATACATCAGTATTTATACTTTTATTTTCATCACTCTGTCTCAATATTGTGTGATGAGTCGGGTTATGTATGCATATGCTTTGTTTCGCTTTACTTAATACTGATTAATTGCAAGATCAGGCTATGAGTGTACAGGCTGAGTTCAGTAATTTGTTAGTTATGAATTAAGTTTTTTTAAGGTGAACTACTGCAGTGAGCCTGATTAGCACAATGTATTAAATATTGCAGTGTTCTAAACCTCAGAAGTTTGCCTCATATAACAAAACACTAACCATTCGCCTACAAAAGTTGTTCCATCATGAATCGAGAACATCGAAATCATGAAAAAGTGAGGTGATTAAAAGAAATTCTTGGATGAAGAGTTTTCCACTTCGATCATCTTAATGTAAATAAATTTTATTCCTCACACTGAGTAATATGTTCCGTATCAGCTTCTTCTCTCCATGGTAAATGTTTTGGGCTTGTACTAGAGATACAATTTTTTAGTTCACCCATGCAAGAAAAACTCAATCTAAGTAAGACATTTCTAAATAAAGTTTAGTTAAAACAAACCAACCTTTTACAACATACGTGTCTAGTTTCTTTGACTAGTTTGGTCGTAGCGTAAAGTCACTGAGAAGTGGACTGAGTCATGTCGCTAGATGTCGACTACCTTTTTGGGGTACCCGAGATGTTATTAATTGATGGTTAGAGACCTTGAATGACATGGTTCAAAATCGTTTGCAACGGTATAGGCGCATTCATTCTTTGTGTTCTATGAAATTCTAACCTTCTGAATTCCTCATCACCTCTATTTTTCTAAGTTTATCTCACAGGATTATACTTCTGGAATCATATCTTTGAACTCCGCTCTTCTCTATAACTAGTAATACTTCTACTATCCCACTATGGATTTGAATTGACAATTCCATCTCTGTGATAATGTGGTATGGCAACCTGAACTGTTGTACTTACGTACGAAGTTGTGGGTTGTAACCGACTAACTGACTGAATGGTATTATTGAATCAGCATTGTAGCTAGCCAGAGCTTATCTCATGAGAAATAAAAGGTTAACTCCTCAGAGTTATATTTTTGTATGTGGATAACAGTCAACTCTCCATCTGAACGTTGTGCGAACCGAAATATGTGAAAGTAATTTTGGGTAAATCATTCTGAATTCATGAAAACGATATGAAAATAAAAGTTCATGTCAAACGTGACAGTATTCCAAGAAATTGATGTTCCGAGACTTGAAGGACAATCAATATTTTTCTGATAGGTTGCTCATAATAGCGGAAACAAGTATCTAAAGAGATCAACAAACCAAATGAAAAGTTTATTCGATTAGTGGCAAGATAACTGATCAAAGATCCAAAGCATTTCTTTTGTTTTAGACCCGTTCGATTTTCAGTTTGACGGTTTGTTCTTAGTTGTCATTAAGTGTATTTTTCTTTGGTTTTACCGAATTGAAATTGATAATTTAGAAAAATAACTCTTCATAGCAAGTTTTATAGTGTTATTAGAATCAGTATATCAATAAATATTGGATGAAGTTCAAAAATATAACTAACATTCGAAATTAAAAATGAACTTAAATCTTGTTTATGTAATTGAATAATAGCATTTTATGTATCATAATATGCATTTAAATTCTTATCCTTATTTAGAAAGATAGAGATATTACTCATGTCTTCGGAAAAGAGTACTTGTTAAGCCCATCACAACATATGATTGTTGATCGCATAAAAGTCGCTGTACGTAATCGTGGTATACGTGCTATGGACTTTTTTGCCGATTATGATAAATTAAAACATGATGAAGTAACGGAACATCAATTCAAATCTGCTCTGCTATTATCCGTTGGTAAGGAAGCTCAATTAAGTGAGCAAGAGGTTCAAATGCTTGCAAACTACTACCGCTCAACTACAAATCCACAATTTATTAATTATCGTGAATTTTGTAGAGAAATTGATGCACGTAAGTATGTATAAAATGATTGATTTTTGTAAAGATATTAATGCATTTTTAGGCATTTGACTAATCATATTTGATATTCAATGATTTAAAAACTGGAAAACAACTTTTACTATAATTAGTGATTCGAATAATGGACAAGAATAAACGTTTTTAAAAGCATATTTGCAAGTGGGATAACTGTCAGTCAGTCAACGTAGAACTTCGTACGTATGTATATCAGTTCAGGTTGCCATACCACCTTAGCACAGAGATGTAATTGTCAATTCAAATCCAATAGTAGTAAAGGTATTAGCAGTAGTCGGAGAGGTTAGGACTAGAAGATATTATTCAAGAAGTAGAATCTAGTGAAATAGACTTAGAAAGATAAGGACAAAGTGATGAAGAATTAAAAAGTTTAGGGTTTGTGAAAACACAAAGAATGAATTCACCTGCGCCATTGCAAACGCTTTTGAGCCATGTCATTCGGAGTCTCTAACCACCACCCCAACCAGACCGTCGACATCTAGCACCATGACTCAGTCCATTTGTCAGTGACTCCATACATTTGTGCCATGTTTCGGTCTGATCGCCCCTAGCTTTGTTCCAGCCTACTCCCACACCGCAAAACATCGCTTGTAGAGGCAGTCGGTGGTTTAGCATACGTAACACATGTCCCTGTTAGGATATTCATCCAATATCCTAAGAGAATTATTGGTAAAATCCTATTGGTCGATTTCTATTGGTCAAAATTATGGTCGTTTTTACTGTCAAAGACAAATACTTCAATGTTGTCTCTTATTGGTCATCCGGACTGTCAATGTCATTTCAAATGTTCTTTCTTATTGGTTGTCCTGACTATCAATGTCACTTCAAATGTTACTTCCTATTGGTCGTCTTAACTGTCAATACCACAGTATTCGATGCTGTTTCTTATTCGACCAAAATGTATATATACGCATTATCTGTAACATTTTATGACCACGACCAGGACCAGACCTGGGTCCCGGATCCCTAGTCCGGGATCCTGATTCTCTTCTGGATTCGGACTTCGTACTGTCTGGATGCTTGTAGAATACAGGTTCTACTTCATATCAAGTCTTGTCTTCTTTTACTAAGTATGGGGGTTGGGACAATCGCCGGATCCTCGCTCTCGTTTTCCGACTAGGTAAACTCGTAATGGTTCAAGTATATCTAGTTGACGTGTTTACGTTCAGGCGTAACAGTACAAACCATCTCAAATGAGGAAGTTTCAACACTTCATTTTTTGTGTGCCACCCCACCAAGTGTTCGATTCCTAACTATAGCACTGCTTACCCGTCTGTTTCAGCATGTACCAGCAATGCTTCGAAGACATCTATAGTCGAGTATCAATAACCTGCGAATGTCCTTTACTCTTACGGACCAGGTTTCGCATCCATATGGTAGAACTAAGCGAACGACTGCTCAGTACACTCGTCCTTTAGTCAGCAAACGGATATATCGCCTACGCCATAAGTGACGCAGGTTGGCAAAAGCCAATCGAGCCTTCTGTATTCGATCTGAGATTTCGTCTGTCACCGGGCTATCAGCACTGATGAGACTCCCCAGATACGAAACGGTCTACACGTTCGACTACTTCACCCCCTATCACTAGTTCAGGTGTCGATGCAACCCAATCTTGAAGCAAAATTTTGCACTTCCAGGTGGGGGCACTGTATCCCGAACACGCTTGGATTGTTTCTTATGGTAGTCAGAAGACTCAGCATTTTGTCAGCGTCCTCGACGAATAGGACTATGTCGTCAGCATATTCTAAGTCAGCAAGCATGTCTCCTGGTAGACGGTCCAATCCCGAAGAGTCAGACGAATATATTATTACCTCTAAAAGCATGTCTATCGCAAAGTTAAGTAAGAATGGAGAGAATGGACAAGCCTGATGAACACCAACTGAAGTAATGAATTCTGATAACAGTTCGCCATAAGCCTTCACTCGATCAGTGTTGTTTTTGTAGACAGCCTATGTGAGATTAACATAGTTCTCTGGTATATCTTTCAATGACAGACACTGCCAGAGAACCTCACCATTAGAGTGGAATTCCGCTCTACGGTTCAGTATTCAGAAAACTATTGCCGAACGCGGAATTGTGTGTCCATGTTCAAGGACCTGACGTAGTGGTCTTTACATCCACATCCAGGTCGAAAACCAACCTGGTTTTCTCTAGTCTGCTCTTCACGAGTTTTAGTTAGGTATCCGAGTATTATTGAGGCCAACATTTTGGACACTATATTAGTTAGACTGATTCTTGTGTGATTGTCACAAGAAGACCTTCGTCCTTTCTTGTAGACTGGTACAATCAGGGACTGAGACTAGGTGGGCAACCGTAGTGTGGCTGAAGGTCAGTTGAATTGATCCTCGAAGTGCTCCGCCCGTCGATCCAGTGTCCTGGACTGAGAAGGAATAACAAGCTTGTCCTTTTCCGAAATACTCTCACTCAGACTAACTAGATCAAGACCAGAACGCTCATAAATCATCAAATGATTGCTTGAGAAACGATCCATTACCGCAGAGAGAACAAAAAACGAATAATCACGACCATTATCTTTACTATCTAACCTACATCTGCTTTTAAAAGATTCCAAGCTGTTGTAGACAGCTTTTTAGTTTTTGATATCTCTAACATAAAACCGTTGTTTATACAAATTCAGTAAGACGACCGAAGGAAATTCCCCCACTGTAAAAGAAAGGAATATAAGATGAGTAACTTTGGGTAAAACAAGGGTAAACTCAAACCCTGACAAAATCTATCGATATCAAATTGTTCAATCATTCCTGTCTTTCATGCAGCGTTTATTGGATACGCGGACTTATTACACTTTCAACTAGTTATAATATTTTAGTAGTAGAAAGTATATGTTAAAAATACTTAAATCAATGTTCATAATTGTAACTCAATGACTTGGGTGATAAAAAAAATCATTGTCAGTGCTAAAAAATCAATGATGTTTTAAATCTGTTAGCATGTTCACTCTCCATTACTAAATTTAGTTTCCCAGTGTTTAAGAAATAGATTTTGCAACTGAAATCAATCTGTGTCCGAATATTGTCTTGGAGATTGTCGAGTTGCATTGTAATCATGAATCGATCGATGTCAGACTGCCATTGAAAGGGTTTGTTGAGTGTGAGGTACTAACCCACGCAAGATATTGGATTAGGTGGCGCGATATTGCACACTGACTGATGTTATACGTTAACATCGTCGGTTTTCACGCTCAGTGGTCTAGAGGAGGTTAGGCGTTCACGCGCGAAATCGAAGGTCCTGGGTTCGACTCCCACACACGGGGTTTGTGAGTGCGCAATACTAATTAGTCTCGTATTAGCACCACACGGCTGTTCAGTGCTTCCAGGTTTCTAATGGTGGTCTAACATTGATCGATTATTGAATTCAGGGGAAATCAATCCTTCTCTTTCATTTCACACGATGGCTAGACAACTTGTTCGATAACTGATACAAATCTTATTACACAAGAGTAACATATGACTCCTAATCCAAATTCTACACTACTTATTATTTCAGCCTCTTATCTAGTACTGATTATTGGTGTTTAAATAATATAGTTTCTTGTTTGCAGATTGAGCTCGACTAATCTTTAACATATCAATATTGTAATCTTCAAAAAAGACCTACTTATTTACTGAGTAATTCTAAACCTGAATTTCCTAATATAAGTTTGTAGATTTCTGTATTAGCCAACCATGTTTGGTAGACAATGCTGTCATTGTTTTTGCTATATTTAGGATTTATTTTGTCTTTCAGTTACCTTACTGCAGCTTCAAAGATGGATTATTAAAATACTTCCTTAAAGATTAATTATTCATTATCTTAATAAGCGTTAACTGAGATATCTAATTCTAATTACCAGATTTAACACTGTACTCAATTTCCCCCCTCTAATTCAGCTATTTCGTAATATCTTTTTATTTTTTTTCACTGATATTTTCCTTGTATGTAGTCTTAACTTTTATAAATTCATATATTCAATTGTATTTTACAGGAATATTTGTCTGATAAGTTTGTTGATCAGGATGCTTCAATTAGGAAATTCGGTTGCTTCTGAAACAGTACTTTCTATTTTTATCAAACCTTTGAAGGTAGAACGTTACTGTGAATTTACCTATAAAATCACTTTTACTGTCCCATATTAAAACTTATATTAGTTTCTTTTAATTAACTGGTCGTTTAATCTTGCATTTCGCTGACCCTTTTCTTTTCCACAGCTTTTCAGACACTGTACCTAGAGAAGGATCCGTTAAAACCGATTAACATGCCAGGTAGAGGCGCTCTTTCACAGGTAAGCAGAATAGAAATATCATATCAGATGGTTCAATGGATAAAATTAGACATCTTACAGTTTCGGTTGTTTTACATTAAATTGTTAGCCAACTTCACCGTTAAAACTGCACGCAACTAATGTAGATGCATGCTGACAGACGTAAAAATATAGATTATGTAGTCTTCTGAAGCTCACTAATTGAAGTTCGTCAACTGACTACCATGAGTGAACGTACTACTGCTCTCTATGGTATTGTTCAAGGCAATTATCCTAGAGTATATCAAACTCCTTTAGAAATCCTGCTCATACAGCTGTCAGAGGATAACAGTAAGTAAACAAAAACAGTTTGCTAAGCAAGCACTCGAAACTTATTTTATACTGCTTAGTAAATTCGAATAGTGATTGTTTTTTAGCAACTACAAATAGACACAAAGGAATAATGGCTGATCAAATTATCGACTACGTACTAGTGAACTGAAATTATTTTCAATACATAAATGTGCAACTTAAAATCAGAAAAAAAAGCTAATTATAGTATAGCGTATGAATAAATCGTGATGGAGTAGCCAAGAGGTGGTTTCCTTTGGCACGTCACAAATGTTCACAGTTCAATGTATAATCATGCCAAACTGACCGTTCCTCTAATTAACCAGGAATTAAAATGGAATTTCAGTGAATAACATATGCACCGGCTATTTTTACGGTTCAGCTGAATTACCGTAATTCATTCTATCGAGCAAAAAGGTAATATTACCTCAAACTCTTTCATATTGTGAAAATTATTCAAGAAATCCCCTTTATTTAATCTGAAATATCATGTGCAAATGGAGGTTTTACTGTACTTTTGTAAATCATGTTCACCAACTTGAACGGTATCTATTTGACCTTTTCTTTAAAAACTTACAAAGTTGGAGTTGTTGCAAATTATATAACTCTTGGGAATATTTCTACAGCCTCCATGCGTATTAAGTCAAGAGGATGAAGTTCGTGTGTCTGAATTAATTAAAGAAATCAAACGCCAAGTCCATGAAAAAAGAATTTTAACTTATCCATATTTTCGGGATTATGATATGGTAAGTCAGTTGCTCATTACTCATAAAAACCTTAACTTACCCATTCTTACAAATCTATAGTGTGAGTATGAGTTCTACTTTAAACGGATAATGAATGAATGTGCAGTTGAAAGCAGTTCGATGATCCTGTTCAAGAGATGCATAGCTGAAATTTCTGTAAATATTGTATCTGGTAGTAAAACAGAATCGTTGTGTTACATCATGAGTTGAACAACGTGTTTATTATCTTAATTGGGCTAAATTATATGGATGTAACTCCTTTGTTTTCACAAACTTTTATAGTGCTGAAAGTTATATACATAGTAACCTGGCTAGTTTTATTTTCATAACTATTTGTACCACTTCATCTTATTTTATGACCTAGATCTCCCCTTTTCGCCTTGAGTCATATATGTTACTCTTCAACGTTGTTCAAGGAATCCGAATATTATAAAGATTATTTCGATTTTTAACTAGTGTAAAACTTTCTTTCACAAACTTTAGTTATAAGGAACAATTTATTAATGGATAAGTTATAAATATAAAATAAAATATTTTTTTAATGTGAAGAAAATTTCTGTTTGTGTCCGTGATCTCACACTCCGTGATATTTACAAAAACCAACTAACCTTCTGCTTAAGTTCGTGTACATATTCCAATTTTGGCTGATCAAATTTATAGACACTGTTTAATTTACCATTAAGATAGCTCAACCAAAGAAAACCTTACTCCGTACAGATATTTAACTATCAATTTTAGCTTGAAGTAACTGGTTACAGACATTGTGAAGTATTTAAATGCAAATATGTTTTCATCAAACCACCTTTTTAGGGAACATGTTTTTCGAGAAGCATTACAGATACACAGTTTGCAAGAGTATTACACTTTCTTGGTTTGGATCTGAGCAAAGAAGATTGTCGTCGTTTATGTCAGAAATTTGCCAATCCTACAAACGGTTGTGTTAATTATGGAGCATTCTGTGAAAAAGTAGATGACTGGTTTACGGCTGCAGCCCCTGTCGATTTCGGTGAAAATAACTCAGGAGACGTGAATTTTGAAATATCGAAAAATATTGGGACAAAAAGCACGTCTGAAATAGTTGATCCGCAGTGTGGCAAAAATCCACTTCGCCAAAATCGGTTTTTAGCTGTAATACCAACAATCAGGTCAGCCGGGGATCAATGTCCCATTGAAGCCTTATTGGGCCGTATCCGACATTTAGTTCTAGTAAACAGTATATCGTTAAAACCTTGGTTTCATGATTTCGATCAGTTACGTAGCGGTTATGTCACACGATCTCAGTTTGAACGTTGTTTGACAGCTGCAGGGCTAACGCGTTTAGATCTACACGACCTTACACCAACGCAAGTGAACATCTTGGCAGATAGTTACGTTTCTTCAACTGATCCCAACATGGTGAACTGGATGAAATTTGTTAATGATGTAGAATCAGGTAAATCCAAGTCTTAGATATACAATATTTATTTTGAATACTAATTCATGGTATAAAGTCATTTTTTCCTTCTGTATTTAAGTTGTTGCGTATTCCACGAACTGTAAGTTTCTGAGCGACAGGTTGACGACAGTTGAAGTTTCATGAATATTCTGTAAAGCAAATATTAATTTGGTTTCAACTTTCTAAAAACCTATTCATTCGTTAGGAGACAGGAACATAACAAACTGTTCACTTTTCTGCTCAATAAATGGAATTCATAACTCGTGAATGTAGACAAAACTATTCATTACAAGTATTAGTTCACTAGTAGTTTTTTTTCAATTTAATTCTCTGCACAAGTGAATCCTCTGAACAGCAGGATTTAAGTGTTAGTTACTTCATACATCGGTAATGAGGATTGAGGATGTATTAAAAGTGAATTAGGATAACTATCTGTGTGATTGATGTTGCAATCGATTGCAGTGAGACTGATAAGTAAAATTTCATGTCTGTGATATGTAATCACAGCTTAAGAAGCAATAAGTTATATAGTTTAGTCATTTGGCTTATACCTTTTGATCATAAATGCTTGATTGTATGGTACTGACAATATGTATTCAAATAGGAAGGTTAATGACCAAACAATGTCGAGTACTAGTCAGTTTATTTCCTGAATCGAATAAATCGTTATTATCAGTCTTTGTATTTTCGCCAAATGTCGTTTTCAGGGCTATAATACAAAGCACAAGCCAGGTAAACAAATTCAGAAGACAAAATAAAGTAACATAATGGTGATAAGGTTGGGAAATCTCATTATTATACGAACTTGCCAGCGGTTGTTCAGTGAGAGAGTCTAGGCTTATTAATCGTTATTAGCGGAAAAACACATCACCGGTCAGAAACCTAGAGTTACAAAACTGTAGTTAAATTGCTTCCATTCTTTATTTTATACAAAACAAGTTAGTTATAATTTTCGTGTATCAATTAATTTCATTTACACCCCTTATGTTATATATCAAAAACTGTTGTTCAGTATCGGATTCTTGAAAAAAAGTACATTTTGCTCGTTACTCAGATGTTTTCTATGTATACAGAATTCGGCTGAATGTAAATGTTACAGACGTCCAAATTCAAATATTCCAATACGACCCAAATACTATTCCCAAATCTCCTATATATCAGAATACAACACCGTTTGATGAAGTTGTTTAATGGGTCGAGTACAGTAGAGAGGAAGGCAGGAAGGAACGGTATCCAAAGTTTTACAGATAATGCGTATTTAATCATTTAGGTTGGATAGGAAAGAGTATCGAAGTCTGTGACATTGACAGTTAAGACGACCGGTAGGAAAGAACACTTTAAATGACAATGACAGTCCGGAAAACCGATAAGAAACAACACTGGAGTACATGACATTCATATCTAGGACGACCATAAAATTAACCAGTAGGAATTAACCAATAGGAATTGACCACTTATTCTCTTAGGATATTGGATGAATATCCTAACAGTAAAAGACCAGAATATTTTTTTATAGATAACGCTTCAAGCGTTTGCAGTCAACATTACTGGGTTCGAATTGTAATATGAACAACAACAGTCGGGGTGCACTTACTTTCAGCTGACCAGTCTTAAATAAGACGAACTAAGCATTCAGGATTCCACTGCCAGTCATATATCATATATATTAAGACATTGTAATTATGTTCCCAATAGGTTTTATTTTGTGAAGTTGGGCTTTACATTTACTTGGCAAATTTTGCATCACTTGGTTTGGATGGACTTATTTGTGACTGGTTTTCATCATCTGGCTTTGCATCCCTGTTTGTTAACAGTATTTTCGATTACCTTGTGATCTTAATTATGTTTCTACAAAAGTACATTAAGACACGAATGTACTTCTGTTGTTGATAACGTATTATTAGCATTTAGCTAAAGTCACTTTCGCTCAATTACTACAAGTCGGTCTCCAAACAGGTTCCTCTGTTCTGTTCTAGACTGCTTGATTCACCACAAACTTTCCACCTTTTCTCAGGAATTCACCGCTAATTAGTTTTTGTGATCATATCATTTGTTGTAAATTTAGATGAAAATCACTTTCTCCTGAAAGCATTCTGATAGATCAGCTCAACTTTAAGAATGGTATATTAGTAAAAAACTGTTTAGTCTAATTTTATATCACGGACAATCAGTTTGGTTCCCGTATTTTTTTTCTTTTATCGTCAGTGTACACTCTGCCCGAATTAGAAAAGCAACCACTTACTCGTGTACCACCACAAGAAACATTTATTCAACCTAAACCAGGCACGATTGATTGGTCAACGGCAACTGAAGAAATGAAACAGAACTATGAAAATGCTATGGCAATTTTAAGACGAAGAGTAAATGAACGTCGGTTGGTGTTAACTCCAGATTTTGCGGCCTTTGATAGGTAAGTATAATATTGCTTTATGCTACATGAGGAGTAATTTATCATATCTTTCACCATAATCAACCACATCGGTTTATTGTTCACTGTGAATAGCATGTTTCATTTCTTAATATAACCATTTGTTTTAATAGGAAAACTGTCTGTAAATAAATTAACGTGATGGGCCTTCATATACACAAATATGATGTATTATCCTCCAACGTTAAGAATAGTTTTGTCGGTTAAAATGATGGACGGTTTCGATGAAACGTTTGAAGTGAAACGACATACACAGATGGTTCTGTCTGCTTGATTATATAGTTCACTAGGACGCTAGTGTGGTGAAATGTGACCAAAGTAATATATACTGAAAGAATACTGAAAATCTCAGTTGACTGCAAAATTTTCTCGTTCTTACTGGCTGTGATAATATTGAATATCTTTTGTCCAAATCTAAGTGAACAAAGAAAGATCTGTAGGTTCATAACTTGAAATGCTACATCTTATAAAGTGGTTTTCAAGTGTTTACAACCGTAGCATAAGCATGAATATTTTGTATCACTAAAATTTACGCCCACAAATCAGTAGATCATCGATTTTACCATACTTTTGATTGAAATCAGTTTGATAAGCTTATCGTTATATTTTTTCTAGCCAAATGCTTGCATTATTTTGAAATTGTGAACAGCTGCACTTTATGAAGACATTGTCACTTGAACTAAGTTAGGAAAGCTTTTTACTCAATATGACCAAATTATAAATAAATGAATAACACAGAATTCAGTATTTAGCACTGGCTGTTGAAATATACAGCGTATTTATTATTGGCTGACAACAATAAGGGCTTGGGCTAGAACGTCAATTCAAAGTTCACGTCTAAAAAGTGCACAAATTATTAAGGGTGATCAGTAAAAGGGCAATCGTCAAATGGGCAAATATGAATAAAGACAACCTTCGAACGAGAAAATAAAATGTTGGAAGTTTGAGATTTCATCGACTTGCCGTCTTTTCCTTTACCTCGATGACTATTCAAAACCATAGTTCCTTAAATATTTAGTGAAAAGTCTGTTTTTAACTTATGCTGAAACCTTTTTTATACCAACTAATCTGAAACAGAAGTTCTTTGCTGTAGACTCTGAATTAACCGTTTTGTCTGCAACTGATCATTTTATTGATTTTCGCGTGTTATGACTTTTTTTAAAAATATTTAATCTAGTTTACATCGTGGGATTGTGTCGACGAATAATTTTCGTCAGCTAGTAAGCATGTGTGGTTTTTGTTTGTCGCCGGTGGAAATCGACGCTATTATATCACGTTATGCAAATGATGATGGTTTCAATTACTTAGAATTTTTAAACGATCTTGGTCCACCAAAAGAAAATGATTATAAGTATCCAGAACGTTTGGCTGAATTGCAGAGGACAAATAAATTGAGTAAAGAAACAGTGGAAATCGAACCAACAGTGAGGGATGCTGAAGGTATTATGAATGCATTGAAAGCAGAGGTATAGTTCCAATTTTGGATAGATTTTCATACACAGACGACTTAATGAAATGTTATTAAATTAGTTTTATGCACTATATGATATAATTTGTCTATTTACTCCCAAACCCTTGTGCATATCTGCGTGTCTACTAGTCTGATATGTTAAACATTTGTCACGGTCAAGAGTTTATTTATTACGTTGAGTACTCAATAGCTTCCTCCTGGAAGTTTCAGTTATTCGCTGTCATCTAACAGAAGTGTATCCGATAAATCTACCCAGAGTGAAAGTAGGTAATTTGGCTACAAAATCTGGTAGGTGGACAGAGATGTGTTTCTAGGAGATCAGAGAATACCTGATCCCAAAAATGTTTCTACAGAAAGAATATGGGACCTGGAAGAAAGGTATTATGTTCGCATCTGTTATATTTATTGTACACAATGGGTGTTTAATTTTTATTCAGTTTAATCTCTAGTGCACAAGGTGTTTGAAAAGTCGGTGATGCTACATATTTAAGTTGGGTCACCTATGCAGAAACACATCTTACAAGAAAATTGTTCTGTGTTTCAGACCTCATTGTTTTTTAAATTGTTTCAGTTGATGTTCAAGGAAATGGTTTTGAAGTTTATAAACTCAACGAAAGTTAACTTAGCTCACTTAAATAATCCAACTAGTATCGAATAAACGTCATTAATTAGTGTTGTGAGTACTAGCTTATGAGTAATCCCGAATTCGCCTGCAAAGTTTAAAATAAGAAAATCAACGATAGTTAACATTAAGTGAGATTTTCTAAACCATAAAGAATTCCATAGAGTTGTGAAGATTGTTGAGTTTCATTGAAATCATGAATCGATCAATATTAAACTACCATTAGAAACCTGGAGGCACTGGACGACCGTTTCGTTCCAGTATGGATTGATTGGTGTTAGACCCACCTAAGATATTGGATGAGGTCCCACGATATCATAGATTGACTGATGTTATACATTAACATCGTAGGTTGCATGCTCAGTGGTCTAGAGGAGGTTAGGCGTTCACGCGCGACACCTAAGGTCCTGGGCTCGACTCCCGTGTTCACTGCTGTTGAGTCTCATACTAGCACCAAATGGCTGTCCAGTGCTTCCAGGTTTCTAATGGTGGTCTAACATTGATTGATTAATGATTTCAGTGAATTATAATGAGCAGTTAGTGTCTACCACAACGAAAGTATACATAAAATTCATAGTGTGGCACAGAAATTTTATCATGGAAAACTTAGTCGATACTTCAGTACAAAGAAATCTAATATTGAACTATTTTAAAATACACTAAGCCTATTTTATCGTTGTTTCGCACATGTATATCTCCCATTTAATGACTTTGTTTCATTCTTATGAGACAACTTGAAATATATTTTAATAGGAAAGCTAAACATACGGTAGTCAAAATATGCGTAGTAGTATATTTAATATCAGTGGTTTGAGTGTCAGCTTTCAAAACTGTTAGCCATGTATTTCACTACATTTACAACTAGAATATGTGTAACTTTACTAATAACTCATTAGTTTCTGGTAACGTATTTGTCATTATCTTTAAATTTCATTATAGGTGTACCGCAGAAGTCTGAGATTGTCTGACTGGTTTCGTGATCATGACAAACTCAATCATGGATACTTACATAGAATAACTTTTCGGCGATGTCTAGGGGTTCTCAACTTGAAAATCAATGAGACAAATTTAAATATTCTGGAAGACAGGTACTTATATGTAGTTTATTTTTGTCCATTAACGAGTGAAGTCAGAAGGAATAATACTTATGTAGCTTCATAAAGTATCTTACATCTAAATAATTCAGGTTCTGTGAATTGATTTGTATATTGAATCCACTGTCTTAAATCACGCAGTACCTGCGTGTATATTAACGATTACAATAAGAATTTCAGTTATGTAAATGCATATAGTTACTTGATCGTTAAAGTTCTGGATCATATTATCAAATAGTTGGCTGTTAGTGAGTTATTTTGTTATGAGTTCTAATTCAACTCTACTTACATTAAAAGTGTAGCTGAAAATATGATATAGGAATTCATACTTTGCTATTGAGTCACACCAAATGTTTCAGTAGAGTTTTCACGTGAAGAGTTTATTATTGCAACTAGATTGTGAAATCATGTTTACATGACCGATGAAATTTGTGATTCTCGAGTACTTTTAAATACAAGGAGCTAAGGGAAAAAATTTTAATGTAATTTATTTATGAGATCGAAACGTAAGATTTAAAGTGAATGACGAAAAAGTAGTTTGCCTTCGTTATTACGAAACGCAGCTGTCAACTAATAGTGCTTAAATTTTCATTTTAAGCTAACAGTAAAACGCACGTTGTTACATTCGACAACGACTGAACATATTAGAATGCATCAGTCTGTTCGTCATGCAGTATGACGAGACAAAGACACAGATCCTCTAATCGGTTGTCGGTTTAGTGAGCGAGATATCATCTTATTCATGCCGGCTAGTCGTCCACTTACTACTATCGAGGAAGAAATACCAGCAGCTTATCGTTGAAGTAGTTTCACGATGGTATTTTGCTTTCGAAAGTGTAATTTAAGATAAATATCATACATAATCTATGATACTGTCTTATTTTGAACTATCCATTAACCTGAATATTTGAAGCCTTCAGTTTGATTAATTGTTAGGAAGATTACGATGATATTTATGACAATCATAAGAGTTCTGTAAATGAATAAACGCAATAATGAATTGTCCGTAGCTGGTAACATTCAGTTATGACTGGGATTAGATTACCGGTTAGCATCTTTTTAAATATAACTTAATAAATGAATTTATATTTAGGACAGTTCAAAGTATCCAATGAAAAGAATAACCCATGGACATCACCTCAAAACATAGCAAACCATGTTGTTCATCGTAAGCAAAACACAATCGAAACGGGGAATAGGACTGAAATCAAGACAGCCTTACAAACTGAATAAAAACCTTCAAGGACAAATTCTTAGGTTGATAGAAGCCTTAGCTATTCGTAAATTCAAACTCCCCTTATGTGTACGGAAACAGTTTGTTATAACCTTCAATTCACCCTAAGTATCGTTAAGCCATTGTATGGCCTAGGAATGTGACAATTTCCTATCCTTACTATGTTATGTTTATTTCCTGTCTCCTTTATTTACAATTATTGCCTTGTTTATCTGAGCTTTCATTGATTTCCTTATAAAATGCCTTGAAAAGTGTAGGTGTAACTAAATTATTCGAAATGTGTGGCGCAAATACATCACATTTTTCAGATCGACTCCATTTTCTCATTGTTCTATAAGAACCATAGTTTGAGATATCAAGTAACAAATTTAACAGAAAGATTAAACGGAAAGCTTGTTTGAAGTTTCGTTCATAATCAGACAAAAATACTTCATACACGTTTAAATTTGGTAAAACAAACATGACTAGTGAAATAGCATACATCATTTATTTCTTATTCAGATGGTCTGCATTTATTAGTCACTTGGCGAGTAGTAATATGAAATTTCAAATCATGATCATTCTATGTTACACGTGCATTTTTTAAGGAGAGTGGTTTCACTTTCAACAATGTTTCTCTTGTAGTAGTTTTAGTTGAATATGTGTCATTTAAGAGAATCATATTTTATTTAATTTTACAGATACAAAGGTCCACTGCCTGATACAGTAGACTGGAGAGCGTTTGTCAGTGACGTTGAAACTATATTTCAAACACCGAATTTAGAAAAAGATCCATTATATGAACCCGGTCATTATAAACCTGATACACCAGTTTCCCAGAATCACTTGACACCCGAATTGGCCTATTCTGCCAACCAGGCTATTTCAAAGATAGCGGCTAAAGTAAGTTATTAGAAGAGTAATTGTGACTTCTACTAGTTTCACCATTTGCGAATAGTTGTGGCGTGTCGAGTTGAGATTGGCTATGATCACCACCGCAGACCAATTTAATGCCAATTACCAAGTTAAAACCCTCTGTAGGAGAACTATCACAAGGACGGTTGTGATTGTAGTAGGGATATATTTTTTGGCGATCTCGTGATATCGAACTAATACCGAGATCGTGTCAAATTTTACAGGCGAGACTATCGTGCGTACGTGAGTAAGCTCAAGGTCACCGACAACGGAAGATGCGTGTTTTTGTTACAGATAAACAAAATGGTACAGTAAAACAATCACTGGTACAACTGGTTTCCATCACAGCAGTCGCGTTCTTTCCATAAAAGTAGGACACTCACTACATAGGTGCACCCAGAGTTTAGAATAATATATAAACATTCAGTTTAAACACGTAGTTTAATATTTGCACACTTACAATATAAGTGGCCTCACACGAAAGTATTTCAGACTGACTGGAATGTTTACGGGAATTTTTATCGTTTACCTTTTTCATATTAACTTCTAGGTTAAAGAACGTAGAATACTACTGTTAACATTGTTTAATGATTTTGACGAAACACATCGTTTAACAGTTAATCAAAGCCAATTTCGTCGTGTCTTAACAACACTGGGACTTGGAGACTTATTGACAGAAAGAGAATGGACAGCACTGTACTGCAAATATCGTCATCAAGTGGGTCTAGCGAACAACGTCAATTATCAAGCTTTTGTTGACGATGTTTATGTGGCAGCCGGTATGGATCCACGTATGCCATAGTCAAAATCTGTTATGAGCAATTTTGTTCACATTATTTATTGTTGAATTGATGTTTAAATAAAGATAACTGCAATTCTAGTTAGTGAAACAATAAGTTCATGATGCTATTAGACGATTTGATTTGCGGTAAATTGGACAGTAATTTTTGATAAGTAAGCATACTAGAAATGAAAATTATAACCGTTAGTAATGCGCAGAATGATATCATTGACTTCAGCGACAACATATGTGAATGGAAATTTGTTTAAAACGCAAATTTAGCGTTCAGTCACACTTACAAAGGAATAAATCAAACAAGGAAATTCCAGTGAAAATAGGAATTCTCTACTTAAACATTTAAACTAATCAGGTTGAGTGAACAAGTTCATTATTATTCATGACGTAATAAGAATCTGATGGTGTTAGCAGAAATAATAAAACCATTATCTAAATCAGTCATTCATTTCACAATATACACACGTACGTAGTGTTAGCTTGAAAAGCCGCTAGTGTAATTCCGAAATAATTTTTCTCCAACTTATTCTCTTCTGTGAAAAATTTAGAGTCACAAAAAAATATGTCTGCATAAACTCGATGCATAGTTAAGAATTAATACTAGGTTTTTGAACTTACTCAAAACTGTTAGAAGAGTAAAATCCTTGCAAACTAACATTTAGCCCCTAGAGATTAGTAATTCAGTGATGTGTATACGTACTAAATGTTTGTTGACAAAAATGTGCAATTTTTTGTTCCGGTGAAAATTGCATCATACAACTTCAAAATTGTAAGAGCGCCATATAAACTGAAGGAAAAACTCATCGCCTTTTTTGCATCAGATCAATTGAAAAAGTTGTGCATATCATGAAATAATATTAGCACCACGTGATACCTCTCTAATTGCATAACTCCTTTTATATGAGTTTTGTGTACAACAGCTGTAATGCGATTATGAAAAGACATTCAACTGTGAAAAAAAACGAGCAGGCATACCAGAGTAAGCGAACAAAAAACTGGACATATTTGAAAGCCACAGGAGTCAGACCGAATTTCCCTCTGGCAGCACATATAGGAAATTAACTCCTGTTTTAGACAAAAACTTAATGTTTTTAAATCGGTTTCTTTTTGGTCGACATTACTTTGACATATTATTGTCGACCAGCAACACTTATTTTGAAGTACTTGGTTCAAGTTTCGGAAAACAATACACTCGGTGACTTATCACCTAATCTGCTGTATCCATAACACTTTCAAACACTAGCTAAAATCTAAATCATAGAAACTATTCGCGGAAATGAAACAATTGTTACTTCGACTTATTTGTAAGTCAGTTCTATGCAGAAGTATTATATTATAGTTTTATTTTCAAACAGAACATATGAAAAATGACTAAACGATGAGGATGAATAAAGTGTGATATAATCGATTAAATTTGAGTTAATGTTCTTGATGAATTCACTCGTTTCGTGTTCAACTGTAAAAATGGTAATTAAAAATTAGTCACCTTTCTCAACCGATTATAGGGGAAGATTCAGGACCACAGAAACTTAATACTTGATGTTGACATGGGGATAATTAACTGAATATTTTGCTTAATAATCTCGACTTGGTTAGACTTTTAAAAACTAAGAGAAATTAGAGCGGGAGAATAAAAATAGTTAAAATAATTTTATACTGAAGCAGATAAGTATAATAATTGATATAATGAGCCAATCAAAGTGATCAAACGAAAAGGCCATTTGATGACCAATGTCCTGAACAATTCATTTTCTTAGGCGATGGCATTCAGACCTTGGACACCGTAAATCATTACATTAAATAAGTAGTGACAGTAGCAAATTTGACAAACGTATTGTTGAAATGGTTTTTATTCATAAAACTGTTCTCGAGGGTGACACAAACTACTGTTTAGTTGGAGTGCTATCTATATACAAGATTTAATTATAGGAAATGTTGTTAAATAAATTCATACTAGGCGATATATTTAACTATGAATTAGAACAGTAACGGCATTAGTTAGCTCGGAAGGTACAACTTGTAAAATGTTTGGAAAATAAGCATTGCTACAATCATCAACTCAGACTATGCAATGAAAAGACTACTTCAGAAATTTCAAGATAAACCCACTGTAATATTTCTTAGGGCTGTTGAAAGAATATACGAAAGCACGAGTCAAAATCGGACAAGTGGGTCATTAATTAAAGTTAAGTAGAGCAATTTCAAATGCCAAACTAATTTTATTTGGTTTACTTAGCGTACTATTTATCACGGTATGGTGGCAGATCATCTTGAATAAAGGTACGCTTTTTTCAGGACTCAAACCAATCACGTTTAGTAATACATTCAAAAGGCCTATGACTAAGGGGCAAATAAAAGTAGAAGTAAATCTCATTTTTCATACAGAGATGGAACATGCTGATTAGACATACGAATTTTGCACAAAATAAAGAAAAAATTAGAACTGAGTCGCTTGACAAAATAATAGATAAATCTTTTAGTATGAACTCAACACACAAGAAGAAGCAAGATCCTGTGACACAACATGATATGCATCAACAAAATCACACTTGATAGAAAAGCTCTGGAAGATGTAGAAACCTTTACATACTTTGATAATAAACAAAGTAGATCTGACACATATTTGAAGACACGGAGCCGGAAAGCAAGGCGGAGTTACTACAGTTGAGCATCTGAAAACAACTGTCAATTAACACGTACGAATTTTCAATACAAACCTCAAAACCGTATCGACAAGGAAACTTGGAAAACTACAAAAACGATCAACCAAAACATGCAGATTTTCTTTAACAGTTTTCTGCGCAAAATACTGCGGATCCGTCAGCAGGAAACGCCATGAACAGCAGCCAAATGTGGGGGAGAACAAATCAGATTGCAGCCTAGGAAGAAATTTGGAGAAGACTGTGGGGGCTGATAAGATATATAATACGGAAAGCACCCAACTGCATCGTGAGGCAAGCCCTAACTTTGGATCCTCAAAGCCAAAGGAAAAGAGGTAGAACAGAGAACATGTTACGTCGGGAATCGGAGACATATCAAGATTATGAGTAGTAACTGGAAAGAACTGTCAAGGGAAGCCCAGATTATGGAATGGTGATCGGCAGCTTATGCTTCATTAGAGGTAATGGGCATAAATAAGTTAAACTGAACAGTTGTATCGTCTGATATGAGAAAATTACATTTGAAAAACAAATAAGCGAACAGTTTCTTATCAATAATTGAAAAAATAGATTTTGTGTCCTAATAAATGTCAGAAAGACAAATCAATACTAGAATTTCCAAAGTTGATCCTATAAAGACTTGCGTTTAAAATGCCCAGCATATGTTCATTTATCCTACATCAACTGATTACGGACGAATCGATAGTATGGGCAAAGGATCGCATATATAATCTGTTTTACTAACCTTTCTCTCAAAATTCAAAAATAGCATTCTAAAGAAGATTACTCATCGGTTTGAGGATATTTTCATTAACGTAGATTAGTGTTCGAAATGAGATAAAATAGGACAGATTAAACAGTGTAAATTCGGCAATTGTGTTTATTCATGAGAAGAAACTCGACGGCAAATAATATTTCCTTTACGTTATGGCTAAATAGAAAGGAAAAGGAGTTTATCTGTGGTGTATGTAAAAAACACTTAACTTAGTATCGATTTCAATTTTTTTCGGCTTAGTACCTGACTAATCTCAATCGAAAACGCTCTACAAATGGTAATAAAATAAATATCTTCGGACAACACTATAAATGAAGAACGAGGATGTTATCAAGAGACTTGAATCACGATATCATTATTTTGATGTCACATCTATAAGGGTCGATTAGATTATTAAGAAATGAGAACTGTTAGAGAATATTAACAGAGTACATTGGACAATAGCTTTTAATTTTGAGAAGAAGATACTTGACAAGAAATTGCATTTCCTTAACGCTCTGTAAAATCGATCAGTGAACGTGTGTGCAGGAGATTTTCATTTATTTGTTGATACTTGTTACTGTAGCTTTGCACCTATTCGTTGCAATGGAAATCGGATTAAATGCATTATAAATAGACTGAAAATGAACATGCTCTCTATGAATAAAGAACGACTGTTTGTTAACTGAAATAATTTACTCACAGAGTATTACGAATGAGTGCATTTAAACAGCTAAGAGAAAGTAAAACACATAATTCGTCTGTAAGAAACCTTTCTTCCTCAAACAACAACTAAACAAGGAAATAACTAGACTAACTAGAGCTATGAAAAAATACAGAGATCTGATATTCATTTTCTAGATCTTCAAATGAAGAGAAAGTTACCTGCTCTTACCATTTCACTATGTACCTATCATTTCAGCCAGTTCTTTAGAGAAAACTATAGATCACTGAGTTAGCGAATATTTCCCGCTCACAGTGTGGAAAGCGTCACATAGAACTCATACATAGCTCATTTCTGTTACAGTTGTTTGATGATGGTTATTTGCTTGATAAAACCAGAGCATTCAAGGAGATGCATAGTTTGAACTTGTGTTTTATGTACATCAAAACCTATAGGTATTCCAGTTAACAGCTCTAATTGTGGTATTCAGAAGACCTGTCATACCTTTGTCCACTATGCGGTTACACAGAAACTAGTAGACAAACTTACCAATTCTCAACTCCTATGTTCGTTTCGCCTGATCCTTTTTCATATCACTGATTGTTTATACTCTTTTTTCAAGTTAATACCTACTTCCTTTGCTCAAATATTCATTGACACTACAATGATTTTGACCATTATCGATGCATCTGTCATTTTACTATAAGTTTATCGGTTTTTATTTACTAATGATTGGCTATTTCATTGATTTCATTGTTATCACTGATTCACTGATTACGTCTATTTTTTTCATATAAGGACACGGGTATCACTGTATATCAGGGCAAAGCTTGGGGCAGATTTAAGTATAAAAAAATTGTTTGTTTACGACTCGTTGCACCTAACGCTATCTATCATGCGTACTCTTTGCTTGACAAGACGTGTTAATTAAAAGAATAAGTAGTTAATCTGTAATCCCATGCTACCTAATTTCACTACTAGAAAATGGAATTAAACATCGGTATAATTTATTTTTGATATCAAGAAGATTACATAGTTTAAAATATACATACTTTAAAATAAAAAAAGTTTAGTTACCACAAATGTAAAAAATACATATTCAGTTATGTTTTCTTCATCTAACAATTACTTGAATTTGAAGTTATTTTCTTATTTACAAGCATCACTCATCAAATACATGATTAGTTTCAAAGTGATACATGTGATTATAAATACATTGATATGTATGTACATACATATGGGCAAATGTACATATGAGTATATATATATATATATATATATATATATATATATATATATATATATTTATAACTATTCTTTGTCTACCTTTAGCAGAGATATAAAACAGTAATCCAGTTTGTCTTTTTAGAACGCTGGATGATAGATATTCTTCGTTTGACTTGATCATTGAACGAATGTATCAATGCTCAACTATTCTGTATTCATAATGATGATTCGAATGTGCTTCGTCAACGCGTAACTGCATCGTTATCTCTTAATGAGTTGGTTGTGGAGCCAATAAACACGGCTGGACCTAATTTGGGACAAAAAAGGAACAATGTGTCAGTAATTAAAGAAACTCATCACAAGCAGATTATTAGTATGGGTGACACAGTATTAGGTGATCTAAGAAAACAATTACAAAGAGTGATCGTTTGTAGATTTTTTTTTGAATAACTCTGTGAACGCACACACTGACAGTATTTATTCTGAGATAGACAGATTGTTGATAAATTGGTCAGAGAAAAAACACTCGCTAAAATCTCACATTTGCATTATTTTTAGTGCAAATATACACAGTTCAATCGTTTTTACGATCGTATTCAAAATAAGAACTATTCGTAAGGCCATATACAATGATTAGGAAAAACAATTTTAACAGGCCTAAATCACGCGACCTTAGTCAAGGCAGTTGACAGTATTTCATAGTAAGGCATTTCGACAGCTGTCAGTTAAGCATTGCGTTTACTACTTGAAATAATGGTATTTAAAAGCAGAGCGAATCGGTCAAGTGAGAAAAGTATCAGTTCCTTACAAATATCCAAATTTCCTAGTGACCAAGCTAATTCTTTTGTCCGTCAACCAGAAGGTCGCACTATCATTCATTCAAATGACTACAGTGGAATCTTCTCATAATTTTTTTATGTCATACAACAAAGCAAATTGTAAAATAAGTGCAAAATGAATTTTATATGTGCAAACACAATGGAAGGAAGCCACTACCTACTTATTTTTGTTGAACATGAATCATTACAAATTTCAGAATTTTTAATTAACAATGTTGAACAAGCTCTTGTTAACATCTGGGAAGAATTTATAATTGACTTATTTATCATTGACGGTCTGGAACTATACGGTCTCCATAATTTTTGTTGTCTTCCAAGTCGATCCTTGGAAATATCAATAGGCGGTAAAGGGAATATAGTCTAAATGAAACCGGAAAACAAATTAAGAACATGAAATTATCAAGTTCCCTTGAATGTTTAACAAGATCTAAGAAATTGAAAACTTGATTTATTCACACTCTCTAAACCAGAAATCTTTTAAAAGTTGACAAGTCTAACGAAATTGTATGTCATCGAAATATATGAAGCACAAAAATGTTGAGATAAGTACCAACAGTCAACAGAATGGTTTATTTCATTCAACAACACAAAGTATTGTGTTCAAATAAACTAATGTTATTCCAAGCTCTATACCTTTTGATTGTTTACTCGGAGTTTACGATTCGATTGTAAAATATGATCAATGGTGTAATATTCAAACAATAAAATGTGAACTAGGTCTGTTCAGCAAACAACCAAAAACAGTTACTTGAAGTCGAAACGTGATTGTTACTTTGAAAAGATTAGGAGGAGATTTTCAGCTGTACACTACATTGACAATGGATACAATGTATCCGTTACGCGGAAATGAATTGGCAATCTACAGAATATTCAAATCTTTAATTAAATTTATTCAACAGCACTGTGTACGCTGAATTTAATCAACAACACTTGCTTCAATGTTATGATAATACGAATCAAAGCCTTGTATGATGGGAAATGTGATTTTTTTCATGAATAGAGAAAAAAGGGAGAATAAAATTTGAAGTTTACGAAAGTCCGTTACATGCAAATGAACGTGGAAAAATTAAGAGATTTCTTTTCAACTATGTCAATCTTAGTAATATTAAACCATAACCACAGTTTTAATTGGGTTATTAAGCGACAAAAAATATCACTTAGTTAGTGTGAATAAATGACCGACCAAATAATACTTTCTTACATAAAAATCACCGATCGCTACTCATTTGAATAAAAATGTAAGAATAAAACAATACTAGACAGTTATGGAAATTCTCAACGATTAGTGAGATGAAATGTCGAAATTTACCATTAAATCGTGTTGAAGGAATAGATATAACCTCCCTTATGGCATTTTGATAAAACAGACAGAACACGTACACGCTATCATATCAAGGCATCAGAGTTTAATTGTAAATATCATAGATACTAAAGTGTAGACTAATTGTTGAGTAAAATTCAACTGAGACACCATTTATCAACATACTACAGTGTGAGTAGTTGGAAGCAATCGAACGAGAGAATATGAATTGATTCTGTGTGATGATCGTTCAGTAGTTTAACCTTAGATTATAATTTGATATTCTCGGTTATTGTTTGCTAGTGTGAAAATCGATTATCCTGACAATTTCTGTTATGTATTGATTCATTCATTGTGGTATTTGTTCGGTGTGACATTCGTTTAAGTTATAATTAACTAGACTTAACTAATCATCATTAGAAAATTTGGGTGATATGGCTTAAAATCGTTTTTTTATTGTCTTCGATTAGATTTTAGGTTTATAAACAGTTTTTGCAAAACGTTCTTCATTTTATTAATCTATACCTGCTAGGATTGTAGCTTCGGTGGCAACTTTGTCAATTATCGCTAACACTCTTACCATCTCTACTACCGTTGAATTCACTTGGAAAGTTTCATCATGCAGTGCTAGCGGGGTGCATATGACCGACTGACAGAGATCCAACTAATAGTTTTTTTAGAAATATATTCTTGTCAGTCACAAACCCGGCTCTATCTTCGGACGTTCTGTGTAGCTCAGTGAGTTAAAGGGTATTGAGGATAACAATCGTATTTGTTGTCGAATAGCGTGGATTCACAGTAAATCCAATGACAATTAGTCTACAAAAGTGGCTTGGTTTTACAAATGAGTTATGAGATTCTCTTAAACGAAATACTTTCTTAGCAGAGATGGATAGTTGCTAGTAGTGCAATCCAGGATGAGCGTTCCGTCGTATTTTTGACTCGTCAGATGGATGTACCTGCATGTCAGAGTCGATGTTCACTCTGGGACTCGAACCCAGTACTGTTCAAACGCTACTGAATTGTCTACTTAGCTACTCAGTCCAGATAGCCACTCGCTTATGCAATGTGGCGAAGATGAATTCACTTGTATTGGTTGTATAAATCTTCTCATCGATGAATAAGACTGCAGCTGATCAATATCTTTGGCACTGGCCCTGCTAATAATGTTTGTAACCTAACGACAATATCGAGGCAATGTACACAAAATGTATATTATCCAAAGAGACTGATCAACTGCAGACCTAAACATCAATGGAAATATCCAAACAAGAAATAGGAATGGAAACACGTTTTCCTCTACTCATGCAGTATAAGTTGAGTAAACGTAAATATATCATTTAGAACTTCATTTCGTTTATCCATTAAATTTAATCGTTTGGACAATTACTATTAGTGCTTTACATTACAGGGTTGTGAAGATTGTTAAGTTACACATTTTTGAAACCATCAATCGATCAATGATAGAGCACCATTAGAAACCTGGAAGCACTGGACGGCCGTTTCGTCCTGGTATGGGACTCCTCAGCAGTGCGCATCAACGACTCCTGCACCCCGCAGGATTCGAACCCAGGACTTTCGGTATTGTGCGCGAACGCTTATGTTACATATGTTACATATCTGTTAAGCAAAGAATAATTGATGCATTTGATAACAGACATAGACAGAAATAGATATTATGGAAAATGATTATATTCTTAACAATGTTCAACAAAAAAAATAAAAACTGACTTTAATACACCCCATAGATTGCAACTTACTTGCTTCGGAGAATTTCGATTCCAATTTGTAGATGATTTCGGTGTGATTCTTTGTGTAAAAAGAGATGTATTACCAAAAGTATTGCTATTACTATTCTGTTGTCCGAATAGATGATTCCCGCTCATTCCTGTATGTGGTGAATTTATTGTATGCTGGTTAGTTTTTTCAATATTCTGATAGACTCCGAATCCAGTCTTATTAATCACAGAGAAATTAATCTTTGAACTTGGCAGATTTAATTCTGTATTTAAAAGGTTATGTGTGGGAAAACATAAACTTGGTTTAACAGTTGATAAAATATTTGTTGGATTAGGCAACGGAGGTAACATGAAATTACGTGAACTTATAGAAGATTCATTCAACATGTTGGTTGCATTCACTGATGACGATGTTTGACTACTATTATTATTTATTGAATCAGAATTAGTGTGCAGTATTGTTGTTGTTATTAATGGGAATGGTGTAAGGGGAAGACATACTGTGACAGGAGATAACAATTGACCATCATTTAAATTACGACATTTTACTAAACTTGTCGAACATGTCGAGTTAAGAGAATTCTCTGTATTTGTAAAATGTATTATTGTGGTTGTTGTTGCTCTATTAACTGAGTGTTCCTCCATTATAGAAGAGTATTGTGATGGTAGAGGTGTACGTAATCTATCTAATGGAGCAAGTCTTCCGTTTTGATGTAAGTTAGCGGCAATACCAATAACACCAACTCCACCAGTTCCACTATGATGAGGTATTTCAGGTACAGCATGATTACATGTCGGTATAACTTTACGTGGAACATTGGTTACTAATTTATTGTGTAAACTGGATATTGGCCTGTTTATAGAAATAGTTCCAACAGATTGTGGACTAATACGTGATACTGCTGTAGTGATGGTGGTCATAGTCACCGATGTCAACTGTGAACCGACTGTAGAATATATCAGATGATTATTTGATGGGTTTTTTAAAACATTATTACTTCCTGTGTACTGTATTCTAGCAAAAGCTTCGTTACTTTCTCTGAAAAAAGTAGTAAAACGAACCAGGAAAGAAGGAGGTTGTCAAGCTATAAAAACTAGCTGAAAAGTTCTCATAATTAGGGAAACATTCTTTCATACCATCAAAACTAACAACTTAAGAATATTGACGAAAACGTGATCTATGGAATGATATAGTTAAGTGATATTCGGTTAAAACATTTTCAGATGATGAAGATTTTACCACTAAAAGTTAAACAAGAATGGAGAAAGAGGATAGCCCTGACGAACACAAATTGAAGTAACTAATTCCAACGACAGTTTTCCACAAGCTCTAACTCGACCAGTAGTGTTCGAGTAGAGAGCTTGTATGAAGTTAATGTACTTCTCTGGTACACCTTTTAGTGACAGACACTGCCACAGAACTTCACGATCAACAGAGCCAAATGCAGCCCTAAGGTCCAGAAAGACAACTATTGTCGGACGAGTAAATGTATAACTGTGTTCCAGGACCTGACGAAGTGTGAATATATGGTCTGTATATCCACGTCCATGTCATAAACCAGACTGGTCTTCTCGAGTCTTCTCTTCACGAGCTCTAGTTAAGCGTCAAAGTATTATTGAGGCTAACATTTTAGAAACCATCTTAGACTGATTCCTGTGTGATTGTCACAAGAGGACTTTTGTCCTTTCTTATAGAATGAGACAATCAGTGGTTGAGACCAGTCAGATGGGATTATGCCCGATTGCCAGATTCTAATTAAGATCTCAGTCAATCGAACTGCTAAAACTGGACCACCATTGTTAAAAATCTCAGGGGTAAGCCTGTCAGACCCTGCTGCTCTCCCTCACTTCAGATTTCCTGTAGCTTTTTCAAATTCATAGAGCCGGAGGACTTACATCGATTCGCCATTCAGATTGACTGGAGATCGTGGACAACCGAGGTGTGACTGAAGGCCAGTTGAACCGATGCTTGAAGTGTTCTGACCATTGATGCAATCTCCTGGATTGAGAAGGAATATAAAGCCCATCCTTTTCTGAGATAATCTCACTTACAGTTGGACTCCTAGTACCAATTTCCTTGATAAGGCGGAACAGCTGTCTACTGTTACTTATCATTACTGCTTTTTCCACCGCTTTTTCTTTAGCTTAAAACCACAGTTCGCGATCACTCCGTAGGCTTTTTATCAGCCTGTGCTTGAGCTGAATTCGCACGTCGTCACCTTCAGAGTCAGACGGGATGAGTTTCTGAGCACCTATGAGTATGGCAGATGCTATTGGGATCTACGGCTTCTCCCTAACCTGTTTTAGAAGGCAATGTTATACCTACACCAGAGAAGCTAAGGGAAGCAGCAGCAAGGCTTCCAGACACGCGGAGCATACATCGAGTGGGTCCTTTATTTGAACAAGGTGAAGTCAAATTAAAGATTCTACTCGGATCCTGTATGCGCATTTCAGAGACGCAGCACACATGAATAGCACGAGATTCCAGGGTCCTAGCTAAGGAAGCTTGTTATCCTATTTAGGACAATGTGCGTACATTAAATGCTTGAAAATATAGTTCAGAACGGGACTTCAGTAGGTTAGGAGATAAGAGAGATGTTAAAAGGTGTAGGAAGGATTTGCTCGTGACCGATTCCGTCTCACGTGCTGTCACGGGTATGAGGGTGATTACCACTTCCCGGCCGCCCACACTGTGAAAGGGTGTTTCTTGAGGGACCTGAAAAAGAAGTTGATCTAAGAGACCTATGAGCGTGACCGTAGAGCCCAACGGACAACTGCTTGAGTTCGGTCACTCACGATTTTATTATGAGAAGTTTTGGAAGTGTTAGCTCCGCTCTTGTTTCAAAGGCCTCACCGCTGCAGACGGAAATCCGTGAGGTGAGGTGAGGTGTAACATTTTTAGGGTCGACCTTTTCTAACCCGCTGCAGATGCTGTTTGTTCGAGGAAACACCTTACTGATGTCACACCTCTCTACTGTCAGCAGTACGACTTTGCCCTCAGACCTTCAGTTGTTGCATCTAGTCCTACCGTTCTGCTTGACTGGCATAGTAGAACCCACAGGAACATATGTTGCAGCCAATATAGCTTGGTTGGGTCATCACGTTAGGCAAGCCTGACCACCACCACGTCAAGGTAGCTGCTACGGTCGGGCACTGCAGATAGAGGGACATTAGTTGATTGTTTTCCATCTGCATTAATTGTTTACCGAAGCATGCGATTAACAAATGAGACCCGAATCATGAAATATTCTCAATAAGAACTTATTACAGATATAATTCTTGATTTTATAAATGTATGGATTGGGTAAAAGTTAACTTAGCCTGAGAAAAACGTAATAGAAAAAAACTTGTATTCTCAGGTAATGAAGATAATAGTATTCTGAACAACGCGGAGACGATTTATTAGTTCTAAGTGTAAGAACTATGAGGAACAGAAAATTTGTAGATCAGAGCTAATGTTTACAGTCTTCCTAATCGAAAAACAATCAGTTATTCGTAAATTCGAGTAAGAGCTAATTGAAGAACCAGTTATCAAACAAACCACAAAGCATGAATGATAAAACCATTGATAATGGAAAAATCCATGTTAAGATGCAAATCAACAATTTTGAATATGAAACACATCATACCGTATGAGAAAATGATTAAGGCTAAGATAGGACTACATAGACTGTATTTTAATGGTCCAGAATGCGAGAGAATTCTATTTTAAATATGGCGCCGGTAAGTGGCATATTCGTGGCTTCGAATGATTCGTTTTTTGTGTAGCTTAGTTTAAGTTATGAGGCGAAAAAGAAACGAACAGAAGTTAGGAAACAAAGTTAACAACAAAGCACTAAACTCATAAAATATACACACTAGTGTTGTGTTCATACTGAGTACTACTGCTGTAGCATGTGGCAATTAAAAAGATCAGTATCATATGTTGAAAATAAATCCTCAACTATAGAGGATGGTTTAGTCACCGGTCGTATACGATGAAGTACACAGGAAAAAGCGATTCTGTAGAGAAAATGAAATAAAGTCAACAGCTAACTCATCCATCGAAACATTAATAGCTGTGGTACATAAAAAATATCCTAGCCAAATTGCAATAATGAGCACAAATAAGTAGCAGTCTATTTAAGAAAGCTGTTTAAATTTCAGAAAATTTTAGAAAAAAAAACAATCAAGAGCTTTAAAAATTTCTTGGTTCGAGAATTTTCAGTTTAATTGAATACTTATCATTGGAAATTCTCAATATTTAACACACATCGATCTATCAAGTTATTTAAGAGGAAAACCTCACATTGCGATTGCAACTGAAAACAAATACATGAATAGACTTATATGGTGCATACTCGTTTTATACTGAAAAAGGTATCGACCGAGTTAGAGCAAGGTCTCATAAGCAGTAAAGTAGTAAAGCACAGATGAAAACGATTCATAGTGTTACTGACTTTGTACCTTTTAACAACTAGTTCTTCATTTTTGTCTAAGTAACACAACAGACTGCATTGATTCACACTCGTGTGCTTAGTTACACGTTGATTCGGTGGATCATTTACTGAGTAAGCTCAAACACGTTTTGTTTACCCTATGAACTTGACACTTCTACTTTCTCATGAATAGGAGAACAGATAAAATTTCCATTTCCCAGTTTACAATAATATGCTCTCAAAATGTTTTTTTTTCCAACCATAACAATAAGATTTTATAAAATAAGACTTACTGAACTAACGATTTTTCCCGTGTTTGTAGTGTTTTGGCTGAAATTTGCAATAGATCAGCAAGTTTAACATTCGATTCGTTAGTTTGCACAATATGTTGACTGCCGGGACAATGCGATGTATCTAGATTGGAATGCTTTGTTTGTTTAGGTTGTCGAAACGATGGCAAAGAGAATGAATTTTGAGCATCAACCGATGAATTACATCGTGATAATGTGGCATCTTGTAGCTGACGAAACTGAGATGGACTATGCGGATAAGCTTTTTGACTATTTTCATTAGTTTCATATTTGTTCATGGTTGAAAGCATATTTTCAGCTGCAGATAAAACATTGAACATTGCAGGATTCATCATGCGAAAATCGCTTTTACGATGTAAGTATAATTTCAATAAGTAATGAATATAATAATAGTCACTTTTTTGGAAACTAATCATTTTCCATAGAAGAAGATTGTAAATTATATTAACCTTTGTTAGGACAAGACATATCACTTTTTCAGCATTATTACAATGACAGAAAATATAATGATAACACTGGAGATTTGAAAGTGTAAGCAATAGAGTTATTCACAAACATAACCTGACTAATCACTATTTTAAACAAAACTGTAGATTGTGTCATCCCTAGTAATTAAGGTTACTGAGTATTATTGATACAATGTATAACACAGTTAAATATCTCATTTGTATATTTTTCATTGATACTTTTATGAATAAAAGTGTAAACACGATTGCAACTTTTTTCGCAACGTAAGAAACCGCACTCCTCACAAAATTTCACGAACATTCATCATTCCTCAAGGAAGTCAGTGATTCTTCTGATGCATGGGATTAAAAATCAACTTCGTTTCACTTCGTCAGGTTTGTAAATGTTTATCAAAATCTAGATACTTTGTGATTAAATTCTAGTCGACCGATCAGTACATGGGATAAAATCATTAATCGATCTATTGCACATGTGATCAGTTAAAATAAATGTATTCTGTTCGAATACAAATAAGAAAATTTTATTGACAAGCTATTAATTAGTCTTCAGTTCAATCAAATCATTGGTGGTTTAGATAAACCCACTTGCTTGTTATGAGACCACATGTAAAGCTTTACTACTTTTCAAGTCACAATTGAAGTTCCAGGTCACAAAATCTAGCAGATTTAAGCTCATCCTATTATCTTTGTAGTTTAACTACTAACTTTCAATAAGAATTCTGATTAAAGTAATACGTGTAACTCTGATTTCTATTTTTTTAAAAATTAGTTTGGTTAATGAGCTGAGTTTTATTTGACTATCCATTTTAGAATTGATATGCTTGAAACTATTACGAGTTCACCTTACTCGGTTAAAGGGAACGAAGATCAACGATTCAGTGACACGATAGGCTATTCTAATCTGATTGTCCCAGACCCCACCAACTACATCAGGAAGTCTTTCTACAGGCACCCAAAAAGGTTGAGGTTTTCAAGCACACAACTCAAGCATATTTATACAACTGATAAAACGCCCTTGGTGAGAGCCACAAAATAGCGTACTAAAATAATCCATCAATCAACGACAGTCAAAATGTTACGTATGCACGTAAACACGTCATTCGCTATGCTTGAACTATTACGATTTTACCTTAGTCGGAAAACGAGAGCGAAGATCGAGGCTCCGACGACACGACTGGCTACTCAAATCCGAGCGTCCCAAACCCCCATTGAGTAAAGAAAGAAGACTTGATATGAAGCAGAACCTGTATTCTACAAGCATCCAGAAAGTACGAGGTTCGAGTCCAGAAGAGAATCAGGATCCCAGACTAAGGATCTCGGTCCGGCTCATAAAACGTTACAGATAATGCGTACTGATACAGTTAGGTCGAATAGGAAACAACATTGAAGTCTGTGACATTGACAGTTGGGAAGACCAATAGGAAACAACATTTGATATTTGATGAATATCGTAACACAAGGGTTTTCCGAGTGGGAACTGTAAGTTGAAGGCCGATTAAGCGTCTTTGATGCAAAGACAATGAAATTCAAAATTTCAGAATAAAAATTACAAAATTAGGACCTATTCCAAGTGAATTCTCGAGATCTAACGTCCTCGACAAGAATACAACTTCAATTAGAATTGTTAATATTTTTCTATTTGCATTCTATGCAAAAAGAATGGTGTAAACTGGCAGTCATATGATTGATCGGCATGAAAGAATTCATTCTACTTAACTGAATCACTTGAACACTCTGCATGAATAAATAACTGATTGATCAAGTGTAAAACAACGGAAACATCAAACTAACTATGAATAAATAAAGACACAGTTGCTTCGCACTTACATAGTGACACTTTCATCCATTCTGTGAGATCGTTCCATAACTGTTTAGATATCATTTGAAGAATCACTTCAACTGGATTCGATGATGGCAGCGTAATACTGCTTTCCGAATAGCAGTTTTCCAAATTATTGGACCGCCTAGCACTTTCCAATGCTTTACTATTGTTTGTAGGCGATGAAAGGAGACAAGACTTAGATGCGGTATCAGGTAAAATGCATAATTTTTTGTGACATTCTTTTCGATTTGAATGTGTTGCAGCAGGATTTGCTTTTTCTCTGTGTTTATGTCTAAAATGATGATAACCGTGATGATTAGGACAATCATGATGTTGGCTACTTTGATGAGACTTTATTAATTTAGGCTCTTTATCAAGTGAAAATTTATTATGAAAATATTGGTGTTCACACAATGACAATTGTTTACCTTGTTCGTTATTACAAACTAGATTGTAACTGCTGAAACTCAAAAACACACAAAGAAATATATTATTGCCTTAAAAATCAAACCATCTGAATGTGGAAGAAACTACTGCGTCTAGTTTCATTATCGTTACAGAAACGTTTCTGACTGGTATGTCAGAAGTGGTGAACGGAACCTGACGAAACAATGTTATGACAAGTAATATTAAAAGCATTTAGGAAATATTTTTAAAATAAAAATATCCAAAAACACCATTGCTAAGCAGACGTGGAACAAGATAAACCCTTGTAATGTATCAAATAGATTCTGACACAAATATCAATTTCACTCATGTCATGATAGTTCATTCACTAACTTCAATAAACACATGAATACACATAAATAAATCTAATCATAATATTTGATCTGCAATTTAATAAACATCATTGTCAAAAGTTAATTTCATTACTATAACTTTCAATTATCACTTATCTTTTAGGTACTTCAGAGCTAATAATTTTTCAATCATTAAATTATAAAGCAATGAAATATTATGATAAGAAAATGAACCTAGGAATCTTGTACATGTTATATCAAAATAGCAACATTTAAATTATTCATAATATCAAGGACCGAAGAGGGAACGATAAATAATAAACTGTGACTGATAACAATTATTATCCACTGATGTGATTTTTCATTGTTGCATTGTGGAGTTTGTTGAGCTTCATTAAAATTATGAACTGATCCATGTTAGACCACTATCAATAGAAACCTGGGAGCACAAGACAGCAGGTTCATCCTAGTATGGGGCTCATCGGTGGTGCGCATCCATGACTCATGCACGTGGAAATCGAACCCATGATCTTCGGTGTAGCGCCTGAACGCTTAATATCTAAACCACTGGGACGTCATTCAGTGGTGTAAATATCTAACTTCAATCAAGCTATGGTATTGCTCAACCTCGGACATTACTAAGTTTACTGATGAAAACATGAAAATTATTCTTACAATGCTGACTGAATAACTCTCGTTGTATGGTACGTCTTTCAGAGAGCATTAAAATATGCCAAAGGTCCCGGGTTAGAATCCTGAGAGGAGCAGGAGTCATGGATGCGCACTGCTGATGAGTCCCATATCAGGTTTCTAATGGTGGTCTAACAATGATTGATTGATGATTTCAAATGTGTAAAAACGCAAACCTCCAAAACTGTGCCCTAAAATATGATTAACTTTCCAAAAATTTTGATTAACTTTATGGATTCAATAGAGAAGAATACATGAATTTTTTAAGCAAGTAAATGAAATAAGTGGCATTGAAATATCTCATAAAAAGCTGATTTTGAAAAGCGTGAGGCAATGATTTTAATCACCACTAAAAAAGTACTTTCTGCATTTCGTCCCAGCTCGTTCCTATTAATAATGACGAATGTGTCGGAGAACATATACAGTCGGATCAACAACGTCTTTGATGAAATAAAATTCACAATGGAAAAGGAACCAAAAAATGGTCTATCATGCCTGGATGTACTGATCACCAGAACTGACACTACTATTTCGGAAGCCAACCCAAATAGAACTAATTCTCAACTACAACAGCAATAACCAAAGAACTCACAAAATCAGCTGTGTACAAACGTTCTTCACGAAAGCGAAAACACACAGCAGCCCACTTAAAGCGTAAAAAACGAAGAGAAACATCTAATGACCGTCTTCCAAAAGAACGACTATCCACGCAACTTCATCAAAAAACATCTACTGAAATCGCCAACAGAAGTAAAATCAAGTACAGGAACCAATAAACTGACCATCCTACTATGCGTAAAAGACATATCGGAACTTACAGCAAGGCTACTGAGACCATTTGGAATAGGTGTAGCGCACAAATAAACAGATTCACTTCAATCGATCCTATGTGGACCGAAGGACAAAATGACAAATGAAGAAAAACCAAATATCATCTACAAAATAAACTGCTTAAACTGAAAAATACTACATTGGAAAAGGAGAAAGTCTTCTTCAGCATCATTTACGTGAATACCAATTAGCAGTCAAACGCCATGACATTCCTTCGCTTATATCAATACATACGGACAAGTGTGGACATCATTTCGATTGGAACGATGTGGAAATACTGAATAGGGAGAGAACAAAAAACGCTAGAAAATGTTTAGAAGCATGGCACTCAGGTCAATCAGCAATCAACAAACACATCGATAATGACCCAATTTCTCAACCAATCAGAAAAATCATAGGCGACATGGTATGAAGAAACAGATCAAAGGGGGATACAATGCAAACAACGACAGGTTGAAGGTCAACAACAACCAATCAAGATCGAGTTTAACAGAACAAGCTACGGGTCAACCGTGGAGAATTTTGAATACTTTGCTTTTATCTGAAGTTTGTGATGATGTTGTTCAGAAGAACAATGAAAGCTCCACAACCAAAACATACAGCTGAGAGAATGAAACATCACTACAATCATCCACGTGAGCTACAAATTTTCTCTACCATCTCAGGTTGGTAGTTTCCATAACGTATTGACTTCAGCCGAGAAAAACTAATCAGTGACCTATAAATGATTTTATTGAAACTGTTTTTGGAAATTGTGATTTTTTTTGTTGCTATTTTTGAGAAAGAAGTAGTTACTCGTCGATGAAATTTGATGTGGATTGCCGTATGTCACATAAAATACAGTGAAATTAGAAGCATGAATCAATGGAATTAAGCAAATGGACTTGTCAGTGTGTAGCCTACCACGAGGATCTGAATGTCCTGAGTTCTATGTTTTTTGATGTACAGCTATCCACATAGAAGAGTTTCAAAACTAAGACGAAAGTGCAGTCTAATTTCCTCTGGTTTTAAACAGTTCCCCAGATGATAACAGATTATGATAGAAGTCCCTTACTAGGAATTCAATTAACAAAACTCATGTAAACAACAATCCAGTGTTACATAAGTCTCAACTAATCATACTAGCTAAAGATTTTAGGTCAGAGCGATCTTAGATACAAAACAGAAGCATCTAGGAAAACAGTGGGGAGTATTGATTGATGGAATTCAAGTTAAACAAGATTTAATATATTTTTTTGTCTCCTCCCTTTTTAATTAGATACTACTTACCTGGACATCTCTAGTCTAACTACTAATTACTCTAAAAAAAATATAATTCATTGTGTCGTTAAGTACAACTAACAAAAGCAAGTTATATAGTGTTGGATTGTTATTGGTTAGTTGACAAAGGAATCATTGATTTTTGTATATTAACCTTCTTACTTTTTCATCATTACGGAAATGAACGATGTACTTTTAAATCAAATCATTTATTAACATTCTAGGGAATTTTAAAAACAATAACAACAGTAGGGATACATGTCATTTTTAAATAACCATTATTGATGGTTTGTTACGTATTTTCCACGAGATAAATAGACATTTTGAGATTGAATTAGTAAACTAATTTTTTTATATAGGACGATATACAAAAAAAAACTAGTCCAAATAAAAAGTGTTGTCAAAATTTGCAAAAATATTACTGTAAATATGACACAATTTCGTTCGTAATATACTATCGCATAAAACTCCGTGTGTCTTGCACTTGCTCAAATAAATACTTACCTATTTACAGTTACACCATTCATAAATTCTTCATAATCACCATCTACGGCAAATATTTCTTCTTCCATGCCATTTTCCAATGTTGATGGATTTGAAAAATGTGCTCCAATTTGGCCCATTTCACTTTTGTGGAGAAAAATGAATGGACTGAGTAGACTATGAAGATTGACTGTGCATTAAAACATTGGGTACGACACAAATTATTTACATTACGGGGTTGTGAAGATTGTCCAGTTACACATTTAGAAACCATGAATCGATCAATGATCGAGCACCATTAGAAACCTGGAAGCACTGGACGGCCGTTTCGTCCAGGTATGGGACTCATCAGCAATGCGCACCCACGACTCCTGCACCCCGCAGGATTCGAACCCAGGACCTCCGGTCTTATGCGCGAACGCCTAGCCTCTGGACCACTGAACCGGTATCCAACGGTGTTAATATCTAACTTGATCAATTCACGAAGTTGCGCATGCTCATACACAGTCTTCGGTAGTTACTGTCTACACCCGAACTGGTTGAACTTCATTGGTCACGGACTTTCCATACCAGGACGAAACGGCCGTCCGGTGCTTCTAGGTTTCTAATGGTGGCCTAACATTAATCGATTAGAGCTCTGAAACTCTTTGTTCTCATTAATTCTAAGCGAATCTCTGAATTGCTTCTCACTAATATGGATTTGTTTTATCTCTCTCTCGAGTTTCAATGTATATCAGAATGAATTAACACGGACTTTTAGATCCGACGCTGTTGTCTCTATGTCAGTGATAATTGTTTCTTTTCAGTATAGTTAGTCAGCCACCTTTCTTATAAATATCAAAGTAACGAACGAGTTATGAATGAAAGATCGAAGAGAACTTTGGTTTATGCCATCGCTTAATGAAACGAACAAAATGCAATTCGTTAACCTTACTTCGGATAAGATGCGGGTAATCATTTTTTTAGTCGTACAATAATAATAGTAGTAGTACACGTCTTCTTATAACTGACATCGTTAAATGGTGTAAACAAATCACTTAAAAACGAAACAAAAAAGAAATCAAAAGTAGAAAAAATTAAAAGTGTAAGAATTTAATTAGTACTTGCAAAGAAACACTTTGTAAGTGTTACATCATCACACCACTGGTTCAGAATTACAAATAGAAATTGTCATGACGATCACGAGAGATTAGAATAATCTTTTATAACTAGATTTCAACAAGGCTAATTAACGATTTGTTTTTGCCTTATGCAAGGATCTCAGTTTCTGACGCAACGTAAGAATGTATTCTCATTTAATGTAGGGATAGTATTAAAAACAGTAATAAATATGAATACAAGGCCTGCAAAACCAGCTTACTGTGTATAATTCAATCTATTGTCAGTAATGATAAATTTCTCCATATTTAGAGATGTATCCCCGGTTGTGCATGAAACATTAATCATGTTAGAAAACTCTATTAAAGTTTAAAATAAACGTTATATAAGATAAATAATATGAGGTATTAATGATAGTTGGTTTTTGAGACTCTTGCCATAGTACGTCTCATTATGGTCAATAAAGAATTTGACATAATATTATTGTTTTAACATACACTTTAAATAATAGTTATGTATTATTTTCATGTTTAAAGACACTGTTGCAATAATAATAATAATGGCTTTATTCAATATCGTGTATCTAGTACAACATGGAATATTTCAACAAGTTTATTTTACAAAACAGTTAGTGATCGGCAATCGGAAATAAGCGGTTCAGGAATCGATATCTTATCAACGTTCGTTCTTTTCTCAGCAGACTGCCAGCCACGGCAAAGTTTCGGGTTGTACTTTTTCGAAATTTGTGGAGTGATAGCTCGTAAATGTAACTTATACGTGCCTGAATAGATTATACGATTAATAAGCATAACTGACGCGTTATAGCAAGCAGAATTCAGTCGTTCACTCAGCTACAACACAGAACATCGTGAGTAAGTAGATCATTTCAAATTGCTATACAACATTAGCACAAAGAGATGGAATTGTCAATTCGAATCCCACAGTAGTACATGTAGTAAAGTTATCAGAAACATTAGTGATCGAAGACATCAATCGAGCAGTACATCTCAGTGGAATGTATTTAAAAACAAGCAAAATAGTCATGAGGAATTCAAGAGATTAGAATTTGAGTGAAAATAAAAAATGCATGAACATGCACCATTGCAAACGATTCTCAAACATATCATTCAAAGTACCTAGCCGTCGGTTACTATTGTCTCGCGGACTCTAACTACGTGGTTTACAACTGCTACCATGCCTCAGTCCAGTTATCAGTGGCTTCGTGGATTTCTGCCAACTTTTAGTCAGGCGGCTTGCTTCCAGCCTACCCCTATATCACAAAACATAGCTGGTCATACTAGCCTACGAATATCCTCCACCCTTACTGACCATGTTTCGCACCAATTTAGTAAGATGGAGCGGACTGCTGCATAGTACACTCGTCCTATTGTTGACAAACGTATATCTCATCTACGCAAGTCTGCAAAGCCAGTCGAGGCTTCTATATCCACGCTGAGGTTTCATCCGTCATCAGGCCATGAGCACTTATGAGACTCCCGAGATAAGTGAAGCGGTCGATAAGCTCAAATGGTTCACTTCCTTTCACTAGTTCAGGTGCCGATGCAAGCCAATCTTGAAGCGAAATTTTGCATTTTGAGGGGGAAAACCGCATACCGGACATGCTTGCATTGTTGCTCAGGGTAGTTAGAAGACTCTGCATTTCGTCAGCGTCCTCAATAAATAGAACTATGTGATCGGCATATCCTAAGTCAACAAGCGAATTTACCGGTAGAAGGTCCATTCCTGAAAAGTTAGACGGAGATAATGAAACCTCTAGATGCAAATCTATGACAAAATTAAACAAGATTGGAGAAAGTGGACAGCCCTGATAAAGACCACCTGATGTGACCAGTTCTAATGACATTTCGCCATAGACTATAGTTCGACTAGTACTGGTCTAGTAGAGAGAGGTTAATGTACTTGTCTCACACACCTTTCAATGACAGACACTGACACAGAACTTTACGATCGACAGAGTGGAATTTCGGTTTCAGGTCCAGCAATACAACTATAGTGGGACATCAAAATGTGTGTCTGTCGTAGTGTGAATATATGGTCTATACATCCACGTCCACGTCGGAAACCAGACTGGTTTTCTTGAGTCTGCTCTTCACGAGCCCTTGTTAGGCATCAACGTATTATCGAGGCTAACATTTTAGACACTAAATTAGTTAGACTGATTCCTGTGTGATTGTCACAAAGGACTTCTGTACTTTCTTATAGAATGAAACAGATATCGGTTGAGACCAGTCGGATAGGATAATCTCCGGTTCGCACATTCTAGCTAAAGTATAAGTCAATCTCACTATTAAAACTAGACCACCATCTTTGAAAATCTCAGGGGTTAACCTATCACAGCCTGCTGCTCTTTGTCGTTCTAGATTTTCTATGGTTTTTCCACCCTCATTAGGAGTTGGAGGACTTACATCAATTTGACATTCACGTTGACTGGAGATCGTGGGTAACCAAAGTGTTTTGCCCATCGATACAATCTCCTTGATTGAGAATCAATAATAAGCACACTCCATTTCGAGATGAGTTCACTAACAGTCGGATTCCTGATTCAGGTTCCCTTGATAAGCTTGAACCGATGTCTAATGTTACCTATCACCATCACCTTTTCGATCTCTTTGGCTTTCGCTACGTAGGTACCTTATTAGCCTGTGCCAAATATGACTTCACTCCTCATCACGTGCAGAGCCAGATGGAATACGTTTCCCAGAATTTATCAGTTCAGTCGATGTTACTGAAATCCATTGTTCCTCCTCAACCCTACGTTTTACTTTACCAGCAGATATCACTGCAGTTTCCATAGCATTTTGGATATCATTCCAGTTTCGCTTAGTCTACCTACTTAGGCATCGAAGTCACCAATCACAATTACTAGATGAAAGAGCTTAACTTTATGAAGATGGTTAAAAAGGTTTCTGTAAAACTCACCTTTTACCTAATTCAAATTAGTCAGTGGGAACGTACGCAGAGACAATATTTAGTTTAGAAAGGGGTTTCAAGAGACCAGAAATATGTTTCGTGAACTCAAAACGTCTGCATCAGTGGTGAGGGGGGGTAAAGGAATAAAGGAAAGGTTTGTCATGAACACAAGAGAATTATTAAGAGGTGTAGAAAGGATTTGATTGTGACCAATTTGGTCTCGTGTGCTGTTACGAGGGTGGATTTTCACTTCCCGGCAGCCCACACCATGGAAGAGTTTTTCTTGAGGAACCTGGAAAAGAAGTTAGATTGGCGTTGGTCTTAGAGACCTGGTAGCATGACCGCAGAGCCCAAAGGACAACTGCTTGAGGCCGGTCACGCACGGCATTTTTATGAGAAGTTTTTCCAGTGTTAGCTCCACTCTTGTTTAAAAGACAGAAATCCGTGAGGTGAGGTGGGGTGTGACATTTTTAGGGTTGGCCTTTTCTAACTCCCTCCTTCCTTCCTCGTGAGAAGGCAACATCGCTGCAGATGCAGATTGTCCGAGGGAAACAACTTACTGCTATCACACCTCTTGACAGTCAGCAGTACGGCTTCGCCCTCAGAGCTTCAGTTGCTGTTTGTAGTCTCATCGTTCTCCGATCGACCTGCCTGGCATGGTAGAACCTTCAAGAACATATGATCCAGCCAATATAGCTCGATTAAGTTATCACGATAGGCAAGTTAGTTGTTGAATTATTTTAGTGCTGTAAAACAGGAAGCTCATAAATTTAAGCAGACCGCTAATATTATCTACACTTATGAACTGATATTGGTTGGAGAACTAATAAAATTAAGGAGCTTTAGACAACAGTTTCTTCCTAGTTGTTAGGTACCTCAGAAGGGAGTAACCACATTTGATCACTTTCGAAAATTACACTAAATCATACTTTCAACCTCAATCAAATCATGCTATAGCGAACCCTTCATGTAATGTCATTTTTGAGCTGTTATTCCATAGCAATGTAGCTGTAACTTCAAGAAACCCATCTTAATCATTAGTGATGAGCAGGTGCTTCTACGGAAACCTAGCATTAAATGTTTCAAGTAATATGTTTAATGGCTAAACATTGCGATGGAAAATATTAATACGTGGCTCACTTAATATTTCCTATGAAACGATAGACGCTTTACAACTGACTAAAAAATGTTACCAGTTTACAATGATTAATAATAATAACAATCATTTTTAATCGAGGACATTCGTACATACTATTTTACAATGACTATTGAGTTTCCAAATCGACTTATTACTTACTACATTGATCGTGGTAAATTTCGATCACCGTTTAACCAAAGTCTAACAGCTAATTCTTCAAAATCAAAGTGGAGAAATAAGACTGAAGCATATATTTTTAGGATCAACATCTTACAGATTGCTTTTCGCGATGCAATCTCTCTCAAAACAATGAAGTGTATAAAGTAAAATTATCATCGAGAAGGCTATCAAGGTACATAAATTAAGTGACTCTGAGGAATAAAGCGTTTTGTATGTAGCGGTAGAAGTTAACTATTGGTCATGAAGCTGACAATAAACACTTGCGAATGGTAGCACATAAAACTGGGACATTGAGAAGTCAAGTCCATATCTGTCCCAAAAATCTGATATGATGAACCTGCTGTATATCCTATTATTTCTGTTTTTCTTTAACTGGCATACCATTAGGATTGTTGTTTTAAGACAAACAAAAAAAGGTCTCAACGTCTACGCCTTCACTATTTCTCCAAAAAATCCATATTCATCACGAATGGTGAATAACCGAAACTAACGATGACAGGCATTCATGAAACAATTATTATTTGAAAGCTACAGTAATATTTTATGTCTTTGCGTCTTTGCCTGATACAGAAACTTTCACATAAATAAATATCGAAAGTCGACTAATAAGAGTGGTTTTCATTGATTTTTGTATGCAAGCTAAAGTTGATGAAAACTGATATTTCTGTGACAAAATTTCACTCATCGAATCGAAGTGAAAATTTTATAGTATTGTTGTTCTAAAAGTTCAAAATTGAAACAATACTTTAAATAAATAAATAAATAAGCAATAATTTCTACCTGGTATGAGAAAACTATCAACATCATGATGAACAGGAGATTCATTTGAAAGTATTATTTGTTTGCCAACAACACGTAAATGCGGGAATCGAGATAGCCAGTCTTTACATTCATAAAACAAATGATCTTGAATTCCACACGGATTACTATTTATACAATATGTAACTGATGAATTAGGATGATCAGGATAATGGTAAGCTATAAAAATATTTTAAGAAAAACAAATAACTTAAATAATGATTCTGCCTATAAATAAATCCCTTCAAACAAACTAAGTAAATGCACTGCAAGTAGTATGACACGAGAGAATCCGTGTATAGTTTGGCTTACATTGACCAATTAATCAGTGATCTTGTCACACGAATTATTTTGACAGGACTATTGGTGTTTGTCAGTGCATAGGATGCAATCCCATTCAAAGTGACAAATTACTAAACAATTGTGTTTCTTTAAATATAACGCTCTCCAACCAACATTGAGTATCAGATATTGGTTATTGCACTTTTGAGATGGTGGGAAAAAAGATAATTTGAGTCAGTCTGAAGGACTTCAAAAGATTTGCACATTTTTTCATATCCTACAACCCCCTTGGAATATTTTTCAGAAGGCTTTTAAACGTTTTGGTGCAGATCTCTTGTACAAACGTTATTTCTAAGGCACTGTAAGAGGTGTGTACTTTTTGATGTTCCAGTTGACTGAATCAAGAAGCTCCATTGTTTGTCTTACAATAGAATAGAAAACCTATTTAATGTCTAATAGCTTTCAACTACTTGCTCACCCACAGTCATTACTCTATTATACATATAGGCTTTAAGTTAGTAAATTCTTAAAATTGCTTGGCTGCATAAAGTTTCGAATTATGTCAATTCATAGAGTGAAGTTTGCTATCATCAGCAGAACTGATTATTCATAAACAGACGAAACACCAAACGTACTCATCATTACCGGACATTAATAAACGACTGACAGTCAAAAACATTCCACTCATAATGAACCTATACATACAGTCAGTCAGTCATGGGTAACTTTGATGGCTATCCACTTTTCTCGAATAAAATCCCTATATTTAGATAGATATTCTCAAAAACTACGGTTTATACACACATGTTGTTCCATACTTAAAAATTTAAGAGAAAGATTCATAAATCTAAAGAAAACAACACTTACGTGGGTTTCGATTTTCCACAAAATTTAAAGATAATGATGCTAAATTATCTAGGCCAATCGGAGGATAATCATTCATACATGAAGATGCATTGACACTGTTTGAATTTTTCATACCGTGAGGCTGTTCATCATCAAAGTTTGTTGTTGTTGTCGTCGTCATTGTTGTATGCTTCAATAGGGAATCTGGTGGATCGAAATTCGAGTTGTCAAACAGGATACGATCAATTTCCTCGAACATTTCGTGTACACGAAAGGACTGTTGCCGATCAAACTCCTTGAAAGTAAGTGACGATATGATAGTAGGTTTGTGTGCAATTATTTGAATGCGTGTTTACAAAGTAAGCGAAAAAAAACGAGTATTTGAAAAAATTCAGAACTCAGTTAATGTAATTTACTACGGGCACAGTATAATGAAATAAAAGGAATATAATTTCTTCTTAATCTAAACCTTGAAAATCCAATCATTTATGGTGCTTATAAAATCATACATTTCAATCTATGATGAATGACTAATAGCAGACCTTTTATGTTGATTCTAAGTCTGGTAGCTAACAAGAAAAAGAGTCTAGTGTTCAAGCATGATCTAACAAAACACTAACACAAATTTTTAAAAATTCTATCCGTCGTGTGTATTCATCCAACGGCAACGTTTTTTTTATTAGTTTGATATTGAAAGTTGATTAATTTTTGTCCCACTGAACTATTGATCACAGAAAATAGAAAAAATTCCTCTTGTAAACCTAGATAAAGAAAAAAATTGTCCGATATGTTGATTAGTTATTAAACCCCAGCACAAATTACGAGTACAAACTTATCGCAAAAATGTTTGAACATTAAAAAAACAATCACTAATCTCAGTCCCAATAAAAATCTGTTCCAGTCAACTTCATACACAGAATGTTTTAAGATATCAATGAAGTATTATTTATTGTATTTTGTTATATGAAATCTTTTATTTACACAACTGAAATATTTTAACATAAAGCGAAAAATTAAAATAGAACAAAAGTGTAAACATTCAGTTTCCCAAGGTAATCTGAAGTTTAAGTCATAATGGAATAAAACAGTTAATAAATGGATCCTGAAGATGGCGCTTGTATAATGCTTAGAATTATTTCAGTTTTCTTGTTACACGTATTGCTAGTTAGTTTTGATAACTGTATATGAATATACACATACACGCAAAAAAGGTTTTCAATAGCCAAATTATTAGTCACATTTCACAAGCGAACGACCAGAGACGAAGTTGCGAAAAAACGGATTCAGCATTGGCCAACAGTTGAATAACTTGCCATGTCTAAACTAAAATTCATAAACCGAGACCATTATGTGGTTTTCTTTTACCAATAAATTGTTGAACAAAACGGTTCCTTAGGTGAAGCATATTTTCCTTGGGAAAACATTATTTTCAAAAAACAAAGAATTGCCCAAAACTGTGTTCTTCGAGAATTTCACATTTCTAGAAACTACAAAAGCAGATCAAGCAGTAATCGTCAAAGTTTTATCTTTCTGTGAAAAACGAATGAGCCTTTACATAAACGCTAAATATTTTATGATTGTCATTTTTCCATGTTTTCAATTTGGATAACGTCAACAACAAGACTTAGATCAACGACAGCTCCATTCGGTAGTTTACAGTCAATAAGCAGTGAATAATTGGAGGAAATGTGTTTGACTCTCTATCTTCAAGTTACTTGCCACACAGAAAAAAAGCATTATAATGAAGAGTTTAAATGTAAAGTAATTAGGAAAAGGCATCAAATAAGCTCACTGATATTGTTCATGTCTAATAGATGATATGTATTTACTTAACTACATGCACAGAATTCGTGAAAAAGACAAAACTGTTTGAAATACTGAAGGTTGACGTCCAGTGAGATATTTCCAAAGAGGTACCTGTTCAAATGTCTCATTTCGCTAGATGGCCCCTATGCTAGTCGCATAGAACATTGAATCACAATCTGAGGAGAAAACACAAACTTTAATGTAACAATATTATGCTAATAACCTAGTTTGTATTTTTGTATCGCTGCAGGGCCTTCTGTTCAAAGCTATAGAATACAAAGAATTAATCATTCAACCTCATTTGGAATATAAATCAGTTACTGAGAAACCACCATAATGGTCTGAAAAAATCCGTGACACCACAATAATCAACTATGAATCCGGTACAAGTTGAGACTGACATACTCAAAATTCATAGTCATTTGTCAAAGTGGATTTGAGGAACTTAGGAAATCTGCAACATTCTTCAATTTCTAGTAACAGTTATCTTGCAATCCTAATGATAGATGACATAGTTACTATGGTATTGAAAATCTGATAACTGGACTTAACTAATGTCAATAGTGATGATTAGCTTACGACAAACCTGAAGTTGAAGTAGCAAAGTAACTCAGCACCATTAGCATTCCTGTTTGCTCCATTTAAACAGCCACAACTCAGTTATACAACAAGAACAGACAATTACGCATATGGCTTCTATTGACTTTATGTGATAGTCTGGCTAGTCACATTATCAGCAGTTTAGAAGAGTTTTGACTACCGATAAAAGTTTGATCAGAAATTAAAGCAACAATCAAACAGTTCCTCTGAAATCAATCAGCTATTTTAAGAGAACTATCAAATAAAAATTGTATCACTATAGAAAGTCGCACGCATTTATTTTAGTTCTGTGAATTCCAGAACAGGTCAGCCAGAAATAATCAACTTTGATTTTCTACATGCTTGAAGGTCATTTTTAGCGTATTTTTTGAATTCTAAAACTTGATCTTGAAATCTAATGAGAATAAATTGAAAGAAACAGCTTTATTGGAAAAAAAGATACACCTACTCGGATTTTCAGATACAAGTTGCTAATTAATACTTACCGGACTAAAACCTATACGCAGGGCATTCTTTAAACTAATTTAATGCTAAACTTATTATAATTGTCTAATTAAGAGTATCTGTTACAATAGGTTCACTAAAAGTCCAGAACAAAACCCACTTTTTATTATTCTTTGAAAGTTTAGGGTATTTAGTTGTTAGATTTTACATAATGGGACAAATAAATTTCTGTTGCTGAACCATTTCTCATAAATTCTTAAAAAGATAAAGAAGCCTGGTTGCTTAGATACACACAGAGATTGTATATTTTCGACAAAAAAAAGCTGGCTAAACCTAAGATTCATTTTACAACAATGAACATTAACAATAATTAGTCTCTTCTCAAAGTGTTAAGGTTAATTATTTTCCTTTATTCTATCAATGCATCATTTAAATGTAACGCATCTGTTTCACTAACGTTTCCAATAACTTGTTTAAAATCATCTAGAAACTAGTCCATATAAGCGTTTTGACGCTTTTAAGTAATTTTCAATAGTACGTAAGCTAATCTATTTCTTGTTACTTTATTCCTGTTTGGTTTCTGAACAGGATAACTTTGCAATGAGACTAGACAATTGTGAATAAGCATTAGACCGAATGTCTTTACCGATTGTCATAATCTCACATATAATCAAGTTATTTTAAACAAATGAGATCGATCAAAAACGGTATAGGGATGCCGGATTATTTTCAGAACAAGAAACAAACATTTAGAAACATAAACGAAACAATGCTTGATGAATTTAAATTTAAGATGCGATCGTATCCGCGTCGGTTAGTTTTGACCAGCTGGTTACAAGGATGTTGAATAATGGAGAATAATGATCAAAATGAAAACTTGATTAAGGGGATAATTTTTGATGAAGAACGTTTCAAGACGGTTCAAGTATCATATGGTGCAGTGCTAGCTTGTGACAAGATACTTGTTGATTATTGATGTTCAGAAAGGTAGCTAATTGAAAAGAAGACTTTTTGTAAAATATGAAAACATTATACTGACTGTACCATTTGCACATCTTCTTTGGATTGATCTTCGCGTAATCATCAATGTTTATGTATTCTTTTGTTAATATAGTTGCTTTCTTTTGTATTTCTCCTCTCCATTCTTTCTTTTACCAAGGAGAATTCTACTATTTATTCCCTTTATATACCGTATAAATATATCTGTCCGTACAAGTGCTGCACATCACACTATGACTGGGAGTCTACTATAAAAGTCAAGATAGGCTATTTTTATTTACATCAAGTAACTCTCAGTTCACCTTATCATTTGTTAGTCCAACTTCATCTTTTTTTTCTATTTTCTATACTTAAATATAAGCAAACTTCAACTGATTCCCACTTCCCGGAATTGTTTTGAGTTGGCGATTTACTTACCTACGTAAGTATTAGTTAAGGCTGACTACTAGTGGAATAGCAAAGTACAAAGGATAAGCCTCTGAAAACATATTGGTCTATTAACCACCCTTACCTGCCTAATAAACGAACCTTGAATTACTATGGTTGAAAAAAAGAGACCATATAAAATGAGATTTCTGTTCTTTGGTGATGCTAAATATAGGCGCTCGACCAATCATTCTAGGATGACTGTTTGGCTAGATATTTAAAGTCAGAGGATAAGTAGTGATAAGCACGCTGAAATACTTTTGCGTACTACTATGCGAAGGTTGATTGACATTGAAATCCAATTGAATTGCAAATAAAATTATTGAGCTGCACTCGTCGGATCTGAATATTTAAACTTAGTCCAACCAACAGATTATAATTTTTTTACGTTGGATATTCTCAAAATCACCATTTAAATATTTGAAATTCATTAATTTTTTATTTGAGAATAATTTACTTTTAAAATAAAAGAGAAAACATTTTTAGAACTAAATACAACGAGTTTTATGCTGCAGTTAATTATTTGCTACTATTCCAGAAGTAATCGTTTCAAAGTATAACTTAACTTTTTCTAGAAAGGACGTCAAGCTGTATATAAATATTTTATCAATCTCATCAAAATCAAACAGTCATAATCAATATTATTTTTCCTCACTAATAACGAATTTCAAAAGTTTTGTGTTATGTTATTTGTACGAAAGACAACAAGCAACATTCTAACTATACACCTTAATGTTAATAACTTAAACTTCGAAGAGATTCATACTTGAAAGTTGAATGCAGTGTTATACGTGCACATCGATCTGTAAATCTAATACTCAACTCGCTAAAGATGTAATATAAAATACTGGTCCATCAATCCAACCAGTCACTTCAAACAAATTTGAGAAAACTATAAACTGAGTAAAAATATAAAGTTTCTTGACTACTTACACACATATCATCACCCCATTCGGATGAAGAAACACTACCCCAATCGGTTAAATTTGTCGAGTTAACATCATAATATTTGACAGGATTAGAATTTATGTTTTCATCAGGTTCATTGTCAATTAAATGTTCATTCGACACAACTTCTGTTGATTCATCAACGGTTTCATGGATGCGATCAATCAAGTTTGTTTTAGAATACTTTGAACTATTTGTATTCAATTCATTTGAAACACAAGTAACTTCTTCATTTGATTGTTGTTTATCAGAATCAATTTTTTTCGCTGAACAATGTACAGTCTCATTTGATTGTTTTATGAAAGAGTGTGAGGATAAACAACTATTGAAGTTTCCTCGTTGACCTGAACCGATTGCTTTCTGGTCAGATTTCACTCCTTTTTTATTGAGTGTCGTAGAAGTATTGTTACGCTGTATTAACCATGAAGATATTTGATTTTCAGATGATGAAAGACAATTACTACTCTTGGAATGATCAGACTGATTGAATGACATTTTTTTTACCACTCCTGGCTTAACAGTCGTCATACTCAGAGTATATTTGTAGTCCGGTTTATTGATATGACAATTATTATTTGATTTCGAAAGATTATATTCGTGTATAGAATTGTTCTTTTCGAAATTACTTGGGAAATCTTTTTCATCTTTTCTAATTATTGCACGTTTTAGATTATGTGTACTATTTGCAGCGGTTGAAGTATAAGTATGGAATGGCTTTACATCTGTTTGACTGTTTGTTATTCTGCCAACATTTAGATATTTGGTGTCTTTCTCGTTAACCGATTTCAAGGGTAACTGTGATGTGGAAACAGATGGCACAACATTTGCCAAACGTCTCTGATTATTTTGTTGTTGGTATTTCGTACTACAAGTTTTTACATGAATCGGATCTTTGCTCAATTTTTTTATATCTTTATTCTTTGGTTCCCTTTTACGCCAACTACGAGCTGAGGTTCTATTCGGCAGCACAGGAACTCGGGGTACATCTCTGTCCGTAGGTCTGCTAAAATGTAAATATAAAAGTATACAGGTTTAGTATAATCAGTTTTAAACATAGTCGCATTTGGTTTCATGGTTTTTATTTTATTAATTTGTAAATTTAGTTTCCTATCAGTCACATTTCTTTTGCAAGCAAACAATAAAAAATGACTTCTCTAGAGATTTCATTTGGTTGTCAAAAGTATTGAAATTCTCATATATATTCAATCTAATTCTTAAATTATTAAAAGACAGAAATAATCAAGCAGCGCCATTCGTAACTAATATGAAATTTTACATTTCTTTTCAGATCCTTATTTCTAGCAAGACTTCACAATCGAATACTGTTTTAAGGGCATATGACAAAAGAAGAGTGAATGTTGAAGTACTGAATATTGTTTTCCATAGATCTTATTTACACCTGAGAGTTTCATACGACGAAGTAATGTTCGTAGCCAAAAGTCTGGTTAAAGTTTAAAAGTATCAAACCTTCCTAACAGATCATATGAATAAATACATTTAAACAAAAGGAAATTAATCTTAATTGATGAAGAAGCCCAACTTTTATGCGTTTGAAAATGGAAGATTAGTTGTTAACCTCATGATAACCTATAGTTTGTTATCAACAGGCTTTGTAGAAAGAAAATTGGTGAACGTTAGAAGATAATGTTTCACCAATTGTAGCCATCGAGTAAACTTAGAAGAATTTCTTTTTGAAGCTTTCAAATTGGTGAACTTAATCTAAGCCAGTCATTCACAACGTAGAACTTCATACGTACTTACATCAGTTTAAGTTGTCAAGATAAAATATTAGTTTCTGTCAGAAATCTAATCTTCTTCATAGAAAAAACCGGTCACCATAAACATGAGCATGCAACGTGTGACGTGTAGTTGAAAAATAACGACTTTTCGACAAAAAATGACTATTTCATAATACATTTTGTTTCTTGATGGAATTAAAATGATTATTTGCGGTAATAAGGTTACTATTTAAAGCTGGATTGCGGGAGCTGAACATTGAAATTAATTAGGTAGAAAGCTAATCAAATGGATTAATGAAAGTATTCGGCAACTCGCCAGCCCCTAACTTTGGAGCACATTGATATAAACGACGAATAGTATACAAATTTTAAGTATGTTATCAGTATAAATCTGCCTATAGACCCTTCGGGGCTATTGCCGGTCCCAAGCCCGGATAAAGGAAGAGGGTTGGGCTTGGGATTGACGACCCCATCCCGCAAAAACTAACTCGTTAAAGAAACGCTAACAAGAAAAAATAATTCAAACCATATAAACTCTGCTCTGGGAGTTAGGTCTTCATTTAGAAGGGTTAGTACGTCTCATGATGAAAGCCGAGCCCCTTCTCACAACCAGAAACCTTCCATGTTGCGGACAGCCGGAAGATAACATCTGACTTCCCACCCATAGAAGCACACGAGACCAAATCGGTCATAATCAAATCCTTTCTACACCTCTTAATAAATGTCTTATCTCCACGACCAACTCTTCTTTCAATCGTTTGTCACATCGCACCGCTGAAGCAAACGGTTTTAGCATTAGAAACGTTATTCCTGGTCTCCAGAAATCCCGCTCTAAACTACATATCTAACTTACTTACTTAAAGCTCTTCTGAATGATGATACCACCAGTCAGTCAGTCACCAACAACATGGAACTTCGTTCGTACATACATCAGTTTAAGTTGCCATACCACACTAGCACAGAGATATAATTGTCAATTCAAATCCCATAGTACTAGAGGTATTAAAAGTATTAGCAGTAATCGGAGAGATTAGAAGTCAACGATATTATTCAAAAAAATAGAATCTAGTGAAAGAAACTTAAAAATAAAGAGATAAAGGTGATGAGGAACTCCGAAATTTATGATTTCAGAGAACACAAATAATCAGTGCATCTGCACTATTGCAAACGACTTTCAGCCATGTAATTCAGGGTCTCTAAACATCGGTTCCTATCGTCTCGTGGTCACCAACCAAGTAGCCTTCATCTACCAGCATGACTCAATCCACTTGTCAGTGAATTCATGGATTTGTGACATGTTTGGGTCCGGTAGCCCCTAGCTTTCTTCCAACCTACTCCTACACCACAAAACATAGCTCGTCTAGGCAGTCGGTGGGTATGCATACGTAACACATGTCCCAACCAGCTCAACTGATGAAGTTTCAATACTCTATATATTGATTTGCCATCCCTGCCTAATACTCGTTTCCTGACAACAGCATTGCTTACCCGTTTGTCCCAGGATATACGAGCAATGCTGTTACATGTAAGAGCAATATAGGATTCGAAAGCCTTTCAAATGGTTTTGGTCTTTTCGAATCAAATGCAAGTACTAAACATAGACGAATCACTGATATTGCACGACTGTACTAACATAAGAACTGTAATGGTGGTCGGGCTTGCCTATCGTGATGACCCAACCAAGCTATACTGGCTGGAACATATATTCCTGAAGGTTCTACCATGCCAGGCAGGTCGATCGCAGAACGATGAGACTAAAAGCAGCTACCCAAGGTCTGAGGGCGAAGTCGTACTGCTGACTGCAGAGAGGTGTGACAGCAGTAAGGTGTTTCCCTCGGACAACCAGCATCTGCAGCGATGCTGCCTTCTCACAAGGAAGGGTTAGAAAAGGTCGACCCTAAAAATGTCACACCTCACCCTACCTCACGGATTTCAGTCTCCGGTGGAAAGGGCGCTCGCTAAGGACCTTTAAGAGCGGAGCTAATCCCCAAAAAACCTTTAACAAAAAGGCCGTGCGTGACCGGCCTCAAGCAGTTGTACCTTGAGCTCTACGGTCACGCACCAACACTAATCTATATTCCTTTTCAGGTCCCTCAAGAATAAACCTTCCACGGTGTGGGCATCCGGGAAGTGACAACTGCCCTCATACCCGCAACAGCACGCGAGACCAAATTGGTCAAAATCAAATCCTTCCTACACCCCCTAATATCTCTGTTATCTCTTCGACTAACTCTACTCACACTCCCTTTCCTCACTGCACCGCTAATGCAGACGAAGAAGTCCCTTTAGTCTGATCCTTACTGATCCTTTCTGTTAATGAATACACAAGATTTGTAGTACGGAGCGTGCTGATGAAGAACTTGCTTTCCTCAAAAATCAGCTGAAAATGGCTATCCAGACCCGTCATAGAGAAAAAAACATGAAAGTTGGAACAAGGAACCCAGAAATTCTGTTTTAAAGAAACATCGTTATATGAATCTGGAATTCGTGGGTGATCGCAAGGGGAGGGTTAGTGTGATACAGCTTGATGTCTCAAAAACTTTTGATAGGGTTAATTATATGTCTAATCAATAAGCTCAAAGTGTTAGGTATTGAGCTACCCTTAATGGACTAGTTGGCTTCCTATCTAAATATTCAACTTAAGGTCAGGGTTAACTCTATAACTTTTCTCAGGTTACAGAATGTCTTGGTGTAGTCCATCAGGGTTCATTCCTAGGACCTCTTCTCATTCTAATGCATTTAAATGAACTACCTCAACTAGTATCGTGAATTACTGCTTTTCCCTAACGATGTTAAATTTCGGAGAGAAGTTCACAGCCAAGATCATAAGCTAGCTCTTCAAGTGGATAAGACTCGACTTTAAAGTAGCATCCACCGATCTGATGGATGCCCGAAAACTCATCCCACCTGGATCTGAACATGATGAAGAACGAAGTCAACTTAGGTGCAGACTTATAAAAAGCCTACGTAACGACCGTGAACAGTGGTGGGTGGCGAAAGCAAAAGCGATGGAAAAGGCAGCGGCGATAGGAAACAGTAGACAACTTTTCCGACTTATCAAGGAAACTGGTATTAAGAATCCTAGTGTAAGTGAGACTATCTCAGAAAATGACGGGACTATTATTTATTCTCGATCCAGGAGACTGGATCGATGGGCAGAACACTTTAGGGATCAGTTCAACTGGCCTCGAGCCACTCTTCGGTTACCCACGATCTCCAGTCATCCTGAATGGCGAATAGACGTAAGTCCATTTAGTCTTAATGACGTTGAGAAAGCGTTAGGAAGTCTGAAGCGAGGACGAGCTATAGGTCCTGATAGACTGACCCCTGGGATATTTAAGGATGGAGGTCCAGTTTTAGCAGCTAGGTTGACTGAGATCTTAGGTAGAATCTGGTAAAGTCTCACTAATATAGTATCTAAAATATTGGCATCAATAATACTTCGACGCTTAACGAAAGCTCATGAAGAGCAGACTCGAGAAAACCAGGCTGGTTTTCGACCTGGACGTGGCTGTATAGACCACATCTTCACACTACGACAGGTCCTGGAATACAGACACACATTTAGGCGTCCTAAAATAGTTGTTTTCCTGGACCTAAAAGGGGCATTTGAATCAGTGGATCGTGAGGTTCTGTGGCAGTGTCTGTCATTGAAAGGTGTACCAAAGAAGTACATTAACCTCACACAAGCTCTCTACTCGAACACCACTGGTCGAGTGAGAGCTTATGGCGAACTGTCATCTGAATTCTCTACATCAAGTGGTGTCCGTCAGGGATGTCCACTCTCTCCATTCTTGTTTAATTTTATCATAGACATGCTCCTAGATATAACCTTATCCTCGTCTGAATTTTCAGGACTAGACCTTCTATCAGGTGGCTCGCTTATTGACTTAGAATATGCCGATGACATAGTCATACGCGGTGAAGACGCTGATAAAATGCAGAGTCTTCTGACCACCCTAAGCAACAATGCGAGCATGTTCGGGATGCGGTTTTCCCCATCGAAATGCAAAATGTTGCTTCAAGATTGGGTTTCTTCTTTAAAGGCACCTGAACTAGTGATAGGGAGTGAAGTAGTCGAAAGTGTAGACTGCTTCACTTATCTTGGGAGTCTCATCAGTGCTGATGGCCTGGTGACTGACGAAATCTCAGCTCGGATACAGAAGGCTCGATTGGCTTTTGCCAAGCTGCGTCACTTATGGCGTAGGCGTGATATCCGTTTGCTGACCAAAGGACGAGTATACTGTGCAGCAGTTCGCTCCGT